TGTATTGCGCCGCACTCGCCGAAGCGTGCGGAAGGGACCTGTGCGTGGAAGGTTTGTGTTTGTGGTTGCACATTCTTGTTCACATTCATTTGCAAGCTCTGGGGAAAAGCATGTACCGCGGAAGGAGCTCTTTGGTTAGCGGAAGGGGGGCGGGAAGAGTCTGCAGAAGTGCGAAGCAAGGATGAACCAAAAAAAAACCTCATCACTTATTTGAACTTATTTGAGTAATTTGCTTCTTGTCAAGCCGGCTGGAAGCACCAGGAATGGCTTTGTGCATGAGTAGGTTTCATGATTCAAATTTAGCTCAGTCAGAAGGCAGGCAAAGCATGCTTTCGACTGCTTTCGCAGTGGTGCTTGTTTGTTTGACGTGAACCGCTGAATCGACCCGCCAAGCAAACGATCAATGTGTAAGCGCAAGCATGGCTAGCATGACATCGAGTAGGCTCTGATTCAAGATGTCATGCGCTGCTTGCAGCGTTGTTTGTGTACCGGAGACAGTGGTAAACATAGCGGGCATGCAAAGCAATGTGTGGCCACTGCATCAATCCAAACCCGCGCAAAGGCTACTGGAAAGAGGCCAACACCAGCGCTGAAAAGATCGATTTCCCTGACTTCGTTCGCCGCTTGTGTGGCAACAAGTGGTTGTGTCCGTGTCAGGGCTTGTAGTGTGAGTGCGTTATTTTTTGGCTGTTTAAATATGTGTTTGTTTGTTTGCTTGTTTGTTTGTTGGGTTGGTTGATTGTTTATCGTTTGTTTGTTTGGTTGGTAGGTTGGTGGGGTGGGTGGGCTGAGAGGGTTTTTAATTTTGTGTTTTGCATGCGCGCTTGGGTACTTTTGCCTGTGTGTGTGTGATGTGTGTGTGTAGATGTGTAAGTCTTGGCATGTGCTTTCTCCTTTCAGCAAGGGGCATGCATTCACGCTTTGGGCCAGGACTGCATACCCTCCCTTGTGCTTGTGGTTCATCAGGATTGTGCATGGCCAACCAGTGAGTTAATATTTGGGTGTGTATGTCTTCAAATGGGCAACCACCTTTAAGGCAATCAAAGGGATGCAGCCATGTCATTCCTGTTTTGTGGCGCACCCATATTTGTTTGTTGGCGGAAGATGTCATGCTGAGTCAAGTCCTACAGGGTCGGCCAATTTCTGAAGCTCCTGCATGGTATTGGAATACTTGGAAATAAGTATGGGACATAAGGGAAATAAGGTCGCACTTGAAGCTCCTAAGCTAAGCCCAAATAAGGGTCGCCATTAGATACTATTTCCCTGATTTGGTTTTATCAGCAGGTATTGGAGCACTTGCTCACCAGGGACGATGTTTCAGTTTGGTGAGTTGCAAAGCAGTTCAGAACTCTGGGCCCTCCATGCTTTTGCCCCTCCCGTGTTAGATGCTACTGTACATAAACCCTGCGCCACAGACTCAACTCAAGCAGAACTACAAGCATCTCCCCATTATGAAATTCCGTACTAGAACGACCTCCATTGCATTGCTTGTGGCGGGGGCATGTCAATGTGGTCTTCGCTCGCAGCCCTGTGTTCATTTGGCTATCACGCACTCATATTGAAATTCAGTTGAACTGGGCCGAAAGGGTTGAACACAGGTTTCATTGCGCTCGCCTGGCGTTCTGCCCAGACATATCATAGTATTCAACATACTCATTTGGGAGGCAGGTGGCAGGAGTCGCAAATGCTTTGGGTGAGAATAATTATGGCAGAGTGGCGTGGCTATCTTTTCTCAGGATGGTATGCCAAGAACTTCGCGTGAGTCTGCTACGTGTATTGCCTGGCCTGCTTCCCAAAAGGGAACTGGCGCATGGCGCGTTCCATATTATGAGAAGTGCATGCGATGTGAGGAGCTTGCAGCGGGCCTGCAGGCTCCGCTCGAAATTTCAGCCTCTTCTTGACGGCGTGACAGACAAAACCCGATTAAGATGTCCTCAGTGCATTCAAAACACTTCGAGGCACATCCTCGGACTGCAGCTTGGGAGTGGCAATGTGTCGCACTCTGTCGCACATTGAGCCATGAGTTGGCCCTTGGCGATCGCATTTTTCCTGCTGGCTTCGGTGCCTGAGTTATTTGCGCTTTCGAGCCACACGTGTTTTGCCAAGAGCTCGCCGAACAGAAGCCCGGAGCCTGGCTGGATGCCACTGGAAGACCACGTAATTTCCCTTGAAAGAGGCCGAGCAGGTTAATGTGGAAGCAGCCTGGAAAAAGCCTTGAGATTCGTAGCTGTAAGTCGTGCACCGAGTCGTCCCGCGGGCTAGAATCGATTGGCTGCCATGTTGCAGCCTGGGCAACGTCTCAGCTCGGTGCTGGGTGACGAGTATACGCTCGGGAGTTTGATCCCCATTTGCCCCTAAGCTGGTCTCGGCACCTCAGCCTGGGCGTGGCTTCAAGAGGCTGTGCGCCAGGATGGCCCATGGCCTCAAATTTGCCTGTCTTGCACAACCCGACAGTTTCCACCACTCCCTCATAGAGGCACGTTGTCCAAGAGATGGAGCCCGCGGACGCAACAGGGGTCATCAGAATGTGCATATCTGTCCAACCATGTCTTGATAAGCATTATGCAAAGAACAGACTTATATAGCATCAAGCGAGATCTTTGCCCAAAGTAATCAGCATCGGACAGCCGGACAACAAAATACTACATTGATTCCGGGCTGCAGTTGGTAATTGATAGGGACCTTTGCAATGGGAGGGCGTATGGGTGGCACAAACGAGGTGACCCCACATGCCTTGACTCCACATGTCGGTTAAACCCATGCATTCAGGATCCCAAAGGCTCCAAGTTTTTTATTCGACAGGGTGTTTGTTTTTTTGCCTAGCCCTGGCACAGGGCTAACCCTGGCAGGTGGTTAATTATTTGGTTGGTTGGTTGGTTGGTTGGGTGGGTGGGTGGTTGGTTGGTTGGGAGCTCGGTGGGACAAAGGTTTGGGATGGGTTCAGGGTGGGTTTAGGGTAGGGGGGTAGTCGATTTGTATCGTTTTAACATCCTCAGCATCGTTTTTAACATCCTCAGCATCACCAGGTTTTGGTTGGCTGGGTTTAGGGTGGGTTCCAGGTTGGCTCAGGGTCGGCTCTCGGTGGGTTCCAAACCTATTGAGAGCAAATTTAGGGCTGGTTTCGGGTGGCTGCAGCCATGGGTGTGTTTAAGCCCGCTTGGGTGGTTTGAGGTCCGCCACACCTTAAACCACCCAAGTGGGCTTAAGCAAAGCCATGGCTGCAGCCAATTTAAACCCACCCGAAACCAGCCCTAAACCTACTCGAGACCAACCCCAAGAAGCCCCACCATAAACCAGCACTAAACCATCTGCCGCAAGCACAACCACCCCCAAATTTGCTCTCAATAGGTTTGAAACCCACCGAGAGCCGACCCTGAGCCAACCTGAAACCAAAACCTGGTGATGCTGAGGCTGTTAAAAACGATGCTGAGGATGTTAAAACGATGCCGGGCCCGAACCTATCCCAAATCGACTACCCTAAACCTATCCCAAACCTTTATCCGTTGGTGTCTCCTTTCGTGCACGCCAGGCTGTGCCAGGGTTAGGCTAATGCCAGGGCTATGCACCAAAAACACACCTCAGCCCCATGGGGGGGTCCTTTGCCCCGTGCAGCGCTGGCTCCTGTGGGCAACGAATCGACAGCTTGGAGCTCTGGGCGGCCCGTGGAAAAGGAGCGGCCTCGCAACCCCCGCAATGCCTAGGCAGGACTTAGGCGTGACTTCGAAGTTGCGTTGGTGGGACTTGGTATTGAAAACTGGGGGCAGGACTTAGGCATGCCTTTGTCCAATGCCTTTAGAGAAACCCCCCTTCTTTGTGGAGGTTTCTTTATGTTCGGGCTAGTCTTGATGCAACGGGCGTTGGAAATGGGGAGGTAACTGATCCCGTCAGACTGTGGGTGGTATTAGGTCCCGGTGTCCTGTGTGTGTGTGTGTGTGTGCAAAACAAAACAAACATCGCGAGTCGGAGTGTGTTTGATGCCTTGTGGCCAGTTCCATATAGTGACGAAGGGAGAAAGGGACCAACTTCTGATTATACCCTGGGATATATCAGAGACCATCACGACCGGACAACAAGATGCTGTGAGGCAGGTTCCGCGGAATGTCTGCAATTCATGTCAAGCATATTTGCATCCTCCGAAAAGACTCATTCACATGTAAATCAACATTATTAAATGTACAGCTACAGCGGTCGCAAGCAAGGCAAGCAGAAAGATGCACTCCATCATTTGTTTGGTCTACTGAAGAGTCCATTGTTGCTTTCATAGCTCACAAGAGTGAGTGGGGTGGGGCCTAATTTTGTGAATGTCCTGGAGGGCGACATTGCAACTGTTTGTTGCTCCCGCGTTTATGGCCAAGGCTTCTTTCAAAGCTTGGCCTCACCAACATCAAGTCACCCTTGAGACAAGTTGCCCAACGGGCCAAGTTGCAAATCTGTTTCGGCTGCTACTTTTGCTACTAGCCTAAGACTCGTGCACCTCTTCAATACACAGTGTTACCGCGAAATAAGGAAGTGTGTCTGTGTGTCGTGCGTGCATGCTTGGGTGTGTCTATGAGTGTGTATAATGCTAGGCCAAAGCCTGCAGATGATCATGCACTACCAATCAACCAATCAGGGTTTGCTATCTCATTTGTTGTGCAGTGTGGGCAAAGCAGATGTATACAGCATATCAACCAGATCCCTTTCAAAAGCACGTGCGCACATAGCTAGCAAATCTCGTCAAATGACTGCGAAAAAAACGAATTAATAGTTAGTAGTTTGCAGTCGGTAGTGGGCAGTAGCCAGCAGGCACTAGGTAGTCAGTCGGTCGAAGGCAGTAGGTAGTAGGTAGTAGGTAGGTGGTAGGTGGTAGGTGGTAGTAGGTAGTGGTAGGTGGTAGTAGGTAGTGGTAGTGGTAGTGGTAGTAGTAGTAGTAGCAGTAGCAGTAGCAGTAGGTGATAGGTGGTAGTCTTGAAAAGAATCAGCAGGGGTCCCAGGAGCAGCCACTAGGCACCATATATGAGGTTGCTGCTGTGCACCATGATCTTCAGCGCGGATGCCTGGTCCATCGTCTCCGTGTCCATGGTGGCAGCCTTTCTGGCTCGGCTGCCCAGTGAGCACTGCACAAAGTGGGCCTTGTCTTTTGACCCCCAGGGAAATACAGGAGCTTCTTGAAAGGAGGCTGTTTTTCACCCATATAAAGGGTCAACATGCAAACCCTCAACGGAAATGGTAGTTGTAAGTCTAAAACTACAGACTCAAAAATGACCACGGCAACAGCGCACCCCAAACCTGAGGACTCCTCGGGATTTGCTCGATCGAGACTGACGGGAGTCTGCTCGGGGTCAAGAGGCAAACCCGGTTCGGAAATGGTTCCCCCCTGCTGAGGTTTTCCCATGTAGGAGAACATATTTTCTTGGCCGACTTCATTTATTTGCGCAGCCCGGAGAAGCGCGGAAGAGTGAGACAGCGTTTGCACGCTCAGGGCAAGTGCTGTTCTGCTTCGTGTGTGTGTGTGTGTCTGTGTGTCTGTGTGTCTGTGTGTCTGTGTGTCTGTGTGTCTGTGTGTCTGTGTGTCTGTGTGTCTGTGTGTCTGTGTGTCTGTGTGTCTGTGTGTCTGTGTGTCTGTGTGTCTGTGTGTCTGTGTGTCTGTGTGTCTGTGTGTCTGTGTGTCTGTGTGTCTGTGTGTCTGTGTGTCTGTGTGTCTGTGTGTCTGTGTGTCTGTGTGTCTGTGTGTCTGTGTGTCTGTGTGTCTGTGTGTCTGTGTGTCTGTGTGTCTGTGTGTCTGTGTGTCAAGCCGTGAGCTAGAGTTTTGCTTGGACGAACATATAGTAAAACCCTGGCTTTGTCCACATGCTTCGCCTAGTTGATAAATCAGAACCTGCAGCATGCGTGAACAGCCGATTGGAAGCACAAAGCCAACGGAGATGTGGCCAACAGGTCGGCGTGAGGCAGAGGGCTCGCGTTTTCGGCATCCTTCCCGAGGTTGCAGAGGCTTCCATGCCCAGTCTTTGAGTTGTGAGGTACCCCTAAGGCTGCCCCTTCGACGGATGCGAGAACGGCTTCCCTGGGTGATCCAAGGCCTCGGGGGATGCAGGGCAGATGCTGACAGCGCAGCGGGCCAACGGCTGGCTACGGACGAGCCTGGGACATCGTTCGTTCTTTTTGTTTGGCCAAAACCTTACCGCATGTGGGTGTGGCTCAAAATTGAACAGGTGGGGTAACTTGTTTCCAACCAACGTGCCATTTTGGGCACCTGTTTTTGAGCCACAGCTAGTTAGGAAGATGATGGGCTTCCACACACCAGCACCAAGTTTGACGTTTGGTAGGGGATCAAGGAGTTTTTCCGTGAACATGTCAGTTGTGATTGAGGAATAATGATGGATTCACTCCTGTTGTCACAACAGGAGAGGGTTGGCAAATTAAGAGCAATCCAAAAACTCCAAGTCCGGCATGTGCAGCAACCGTCAAGATGAGGGAAGCATCGGTAGTTGCAGGAATTGCTCTTTGGGCGTGTTTGGGTCTTGTGTGTGTGCGGGCGTGTGTGTGCGTGTGTGTGTGTGGGTGTGTGGACTAGTGACTAGTTGGGGTCAAACGCACTCTTCAGATTCAATATGTGGATGATGCTGACGATTCATGTTGTTATGGTTGTGTGGATTTGGCCTTTGTGGGTGCACGGGTTTGTGCTTGGGTGTGGTGGGCGTGGTGTGGCGCGGCTGTGGGGAGCGCGGTGTGACTGGTTGTTTAGGCTTGTTTGCTTGGTTGCTTCCTTGTTTGTTTGCGATTGCTGTATTGCTGATTGTTTGTTTTGATTGCGCTTTCTGTTTGTTTGTCCGATTGTCTTCCTGTTTGCCCGTTTGTCTGTCCAATGTCACCTGCATATTGTGCGGATGCTTACACTGCAGTTCCCTGTAGCTGTTTGGAGCACGTTGATTCACCTGGCTTCTTATGCGTTTCAGATGAAGCGGACCAATAATCCGACATGCAAATTGAGCACTCCGAGCCTTGAATCAGATCAGCCCAGCTGCACAAACGCCTCTGCGGTCCAAGGATGTCGATCGTGCCCGGCTTAGCGCGTTGCCTGGGGTGGGATGCTTCCAGGCAGCTTGTGCTTTGGATGTAGACCTCTTTATTTTGTTTGCTTCAGTTATTTTGGTCTTGCGCGTCCTCATGCATGCATGGAACATGCATGTGACGTGAGCAAGTTGCGTCCAGAAATTGAGGCTCAGAGAATTCATATTTCTACAAAGCGATACGTGATTGAAGGGACTTCCTTTGACACAGCTACGAACTGCGCAGCCTCACTGAAAGGTGACAGTTGTGCAAGCACTGCATCTAGTTTCGAACATTATTCTTCCTGCATACCCATCTTTGCAGCCGCATGTTGGTTGAGTGCTTCCCTACAAATATAATGACCCCTGCCTTGTTTGGAGCCTTCAGGTTTCCGGGCAGTTTGCACATTGGCTCAAGGGCCTGTGCTACGAGCACTGGCCCTATGCCATGACGCTTAGCAGTCTTAGTTGTATCTCTGCAGAGAAGAGACCGCTCTCGATCCCCATATGTGGCCAAAAATGTTCGACTCTTTAGAGGAGCGGTTGAACGGTTGACTACCAAAATATTTTGCAAGTACAGAACCAGGCCGCAAATCTGTGATTTGCCATGTTAAGGTTATTGACTTGGAGTATCTAGAGAAACCCACCCAGGGCGAAGCTTCTTTCATGTTCGCGCTTTCTTTCACCGGGCTGGACGGCCCTGCAGTTGAGTTCGTTAGCGAGTGCACCCCCTTGTCAGCCTGAAAAGGCGAAAACAAACCGAAGGTACTGTTGACCCCTGAAGAATAAACTGTTTTTTATCTTGGATGAAAAGGATCCCCACTACCCGCGGACCCCCGGCAAACAACAAGGGCTTGTTTGGCAGGGCCAGCAGCACAAAGTCATACCCCGACCAGATTAATCGCGGAGCCAGCCAACACGTGAAGGTACTCGTACTTTCTTTGAGCATCAGTGCCGCACTCAGCTGAGTCGTTGGAGCAAGCGGCTGTCTACGAGCAAAGTCTAACGTGAACAAGCAGTCAAGGCGCTGAATCAAGAAGAAAATGCGGATCAGAAAAGACCCCTTTGATCCCTTAAAACCGTTGTAATGATTCCGGTTAAGGGAAGTATGACCATAGGCCATAAAAGGAGTTTTGACCATGGCTCGTGTGATTTTGAATGCTATATGTAATCCGCCGTTCGCTCTGTCTATCGCATCGCGTGCGGAACATGGGCAGGTTTACATTTTCTAGTTCTATTGACCCCTTTGATTGCCCTTGCTAAGAAAGCGGCAGCTTGCAGCACATGCTGAACCAACTGATTGTTTCAGCCTTGGATGTTGTAATTTTGATGTGAATGCATAGGTGCGTGCGGACCTTGGAACTTCATTGCCGGGGATCTTGTCTAGGCTAGGCTGCATCCTTCAAGCAATGGGATGAGAAAGTTCGTTGTGTGCGCGCCGCTCACTTTGAAAGGTGGTGGTGGTATCGGCTTTGATTGATGTAAGTTGGACATGTGGCAGGGAAGCCACATGGCACTTTCAAGTTGTTCGGGTGGAGCATGTGTCTTTTGGACTTACCCATGTGGCCAAGCTTCGCCCAGTCAAACCCCCTTGGATCCTTTGTCTGTTTTAGCACTTGGATGGCCAGAGCCAAGTAATGGGGAATGTCCCAGAATCGGACTTAGCAGCCTTGGTATTGCCAGATTACCCAGACTCAGATCACTGTTCAATGGCAGTTTGTTGTGCCCCGGAGGCACATGGGCTACGAGTACTGCTTGCCAATGCGCTTTGGATTGTCTTTTAATCAACAATGTTCGTGTATCTCCCTCTTTGAAAGATCCAGCTTGTTTTGCCTACACGGAAATGCATACATGCACCGCATTATGCGAGATAGCGGCCCCCGTCAAGGCTGGGCACTTCAAACCTGGCTGCCGCCCGGCTATCCGGCTCCGCCTCTCCCAGAGGAAGGGGCGGAACAGAATTGGACATGTGCAACGCATGTGAACAGGACATATGAGCCTCCAGGCACCTCTTTCTGATCCATCTCAACTCAAGGGAGGAGACATATCCACACTTGTGATAGCACAGAATCAAAAGTATTCAGAAGATATGATGTAACTCAAACCATAATCCGACTAACTGACTTCGGCTGAATCATCAAGCAAGCGGGGCAAGAAGACCGGCCAGCAGAGAGATAGAAAGTGCAAATACGGGGCCCTGTTCCAGCGGTTCCATTTGCCAAGTAATTAGGTACGGCTAGTGTCACTATTTGCTAGAAACTACTCTGACCGCCACCACCACCATCAGCACCGGTTGCAGCACCACCACCGCCACTGCCACTGCTGCTGCTGCTGCTGCTGCTCCTGCTGCTACTACTACTACTACTACTACTACTACTACTACTACTACTACTACGACGATGCGAAAACACTGCTCTCAAGCTCCATTCGCCAACCGTTGCTAGCCAGAACGGATAGGGTTGGCCACAAAACAATGACGACTGCCCGATGTTGTTTTTTTGCTTTCTGTCAAGACAAGAGGTTGCAAGTTTCCTAGAATAGTTGGCCCCCACAAAGACAGCTTATTCGCAAAGGGGGGCCAAGCTCCAACCGCAAGCCTCAGATGCGAACAGTTGGGCCTTTGGCTTTGGGCTTCGGTTGCTCTATTCCAGGGGAGGTTCTGATTTGCAGAACCGAAAGTCAGACATATGCAATCTCGACACCTTCTGGAGGCTTGGAGGTGCAGCATTTGGTGAGTTTGTTTCTTGAGTGGCTGCAGTGCGCCCGCCTTCTGCCGACCAGGACGTTGCCAAATGGCCCCTTTGCGCGCTTTTTGACGGACACACACCTGTCAGTCATTGCCTCAGACCGTAGCTCGGGGTGCGACCCCAGTTGGCACAAGCGGTGCTTCTGGCAATGACGCATCACTTGTTTGCCACCTCTCTTGTAGACAAAGTGCTTTTCTTGAAACCTTTGTGATTGTGAAAGGCTGGTAACTATCATGTAATCCGGAGTGTGCACCCCTTGCGTACCTCGATGCCTTCATGGGAATTTACTGGTACTAAGTGCATGGGGTACAGGGGCACATAACACCGCCCTTCACTCTCAGCTGATTCCTGTGAAGCGAGATTTGCGGCTATGAGGTGCTCATGGCAAGCCTTGCAACCCCTTTGACGCGGGCTGCCAGACCCAGCAGCAGCGATGTGGCAAGGCTCGCCGCATTGAATTATTGAATCGGAAAACTAATAGACTGTCAGCCAGCCGGTCGTCGCAAAGAGGCTGTTTCCAAGCAGAGTATCCTCCTGCTGGCTTGTACTTCTGCTATTGGTGAGAACAACCTGCCAGGTCAAACACGGCATTTTGTGGCATGTCAGGGATAGCCGGCTTGCAACCCATGCAGTGCATGATGCAAATCGGAAGGGTTTCTGACTGGGCAATAGAGGCGTCTGAGACTTGAAGATGGCAGGCGTGGATAGCCTGGCTGCGGCTCCGAGGGGGTGGCAGGCAGAGCGGTGCTTTGAGGTGACTGGAAATGTATCAAGACGCCGGGTGCTGTTTTGCGCATTGTTTTGTTACGTGGAGACCGTTTGGACGGCAAGAAGGAGATATGGTTGTCGCTAAGTTGCCAAGTTGCCAAGGGTTGAAATAGTTTGCCAAGCGCCAGGTTCTTTCATGAAGACGCATATAGAGCAGTTGGGGAAGTAGATCCATGTGCAAGATGGTCTATATGCAAGGCTTTGGCAAATGGGCAAACTGCCTGGAGTCCTAGTCTCAATGCCGGTCCGCTTGCAGTGGTTGGTTCAGCGCGCTCATCATGGCGTGCTGCTGTTGTTTTTCGGGTTTGACAACGTGACGCTTTGAAACCTGGGCTCAGTTGCAGTTGCCAGTTCGGAGCTCTTTCTCTCTCACTCTCTCGTGTACTCTTGGCGGGAGTTTGCTTCTCTAAGAACACCTGCTGTTTGGCGTTGGGAACATTGAGCAAGCTCAGTTGTTCACCTGGAACGAAGCATCGCGCAAATCGTGGCAGTGATGTCATAACTAAACTAAGAGAAATCAGGTGACTTTGTGTGGGAGATGAAGAAACCTGAATTCAATCTTACTCAACTGTTGGACAAGTTATAAACCACGGTCTGAGCAGCGTTGGTCCTACGTGGATCTACCTTTGTTTTCATTCAACCAGATTTCCTAGCACACCCATGTTCCTGCAATGGGTGCCCAAATCTGTTTGAGTTAAGGACCTCGCAACAGTGCCACTCCTGCAGTGGGCAGCACACATGGTTTTGGGTCAAAACCCAGGAAACCCCTGGTGAACAGCAAAATAGGTGGCCACTGGATGTTCCACCCCAAAATCAAGCGGATCGCCATAGGTTATGCAACCCATGGCCATATTTACATAGGCTCCAGCGATCCGAGGGCCGAGCCGAACACGTTCGCTTCTCGTAGGGGTCATGGGGCCATCGAGTTCTTAGCGCTCTTCGTGATATGCCTTCTGCGTCGTGCCAGGGACTCGAGAAGCATCTCAGAGTTGCAAGGCGGAGGTAAATTTCTCTGTCAGAGTGACTCCACCTTTGACCCTGGTTTGAGTAGATGTTCACTTCCAACAAGAAAAGAAACAAAGAAAACAAGACACAGCCCACGAACCCGAATGCACATCACTTTGCGCAAACCCAAGAAAATAATTAGAGAGAACATTTTTCGGTATAAGCCAATGGGGCTCGCAATCAAGCCTACTGCGCAAACTATGCTTTTCAGCTGGTAAAACTGTACTTTGCGTGCTCCACTTGTTGCTACAAAGCTACGACTTTCAATCCAGAGCTGGACACCTGCGCTTCGCGCGCTAGACTTGTACTACAAAGTTTGCGATTTTCCAGCCAAAACTATTACTTCGCGCACTGGACTTGCGCTACACAGCTGAAAGCCTGTACTTCGCGTACTAGACTTGTACTACAAAGTTGCGATTTTCGAGCTGGAGCTCAAAACCTGTACTTCGCGTACTATACTTGCACTTCAAAGTTGCGATCTTCCAGCCAGAGCTGGAAACTTGTACTTCACGTACTATACTTGCACTACAAAGTTGTGACTTTCCAGCTAGTACTGGAAACCTGCACACTTCGCGCGCTAGACTTGTGCTTCAAAGTTGCGATTCTCCAGCTAGAGCTGGTACTACAAAGTTGCGATTTTGCAGCTAGGGCTGGAAACCTGTACTCTGCGTACTAGACTTGTACTACAGAGTCGCAATTTACCAGCTGGAGCTGGAAACCTGTACTTCGCGTACTAGACTTGTACTACACAGTCGCGATTTTCCATTTAGAGCTAGAGCCCTGTACTTTGCGTACTAGACTTGTACTACAAAGTTGCGATTTTCGAGCTGGAGCTCAAAACCTGTACTTCGCGTACTATACTTGCGCTTCAAAGTTGCGATCTTCCAGCCAGAGCTGGAAACTTATACTTCACGTACTATACTTGCACTACAAAGTTGTGACTTTCCAGCTAGTACTGGAAACCTGCACACTTCGCGCGCCTGACTTGTGCTTCAAAGTTGCGATTCTCCAGCTAGAGCTGGTACTACAAAGTTGCGATTTTGCAGCTAGGGCTGGAAACCTGTACTTTGCGTACTAGACTTGTACTACAGAGTCGCAATTTACCAGCTGGAGCTGGAAACCTGTACTTCGCGTACTAGACTTGTACTACACAGTCGCGATTTTCCAGGTAGAGCTAGAGTCCTGTACTTTGCGTACTAGACTTGTACTACAAAGTCGCGATTTTCGAGCTGGAGCTCAAAACCTGTACTTCGCGTACTAGACTTGTACAACAAAGTCGCGATTTTCCAGCTGAAGCTGGAAACCGGTACTTCGCGTACTAGACTTGTCAAAGTTACGATTTGCCAGCTAGAGCTGGAAACCTGTACTTCGTGCGCTATGCTTGTACTACAAGGTTGTGATTTCCAGCTAGAGCTGGACTTCGCGTAGCTGTCTTCGCGTACTAGACTTGTTCTACAAAGTCGCAATTTTCCAGCTGGAGCTGGAAGCCTGTACTTCGCGCGTCGTTAGACTGGTACTACAAAGTTGCGATTTTTCAAGCTGGAGCTCGAAACCTGTACTTCGTGCACTAGACTTGCGCTTCAAAGTTGTGATTTTCCTGAAATCTCTACTTCGCGCGCTAAACTTGTGCCACAAAGTTGCGATTTTCCAGCTAGAGCTGGAAACCTGCACCGCACTTTTTCTTATCGACACTTTTTCTGATCGACTTTTCTGAGCAACACTTCTGATTGACACTTCTGAGCGGGCGACACCTGATGAACACTTCTGAACCACACTTTGTCCGATCGACACTTCTGAGCAACACTTAATAGTGAGCGACACTTTTTCTGACCGACTTTTCTGAGCAACACTTCTGATCGACAATTCTGAGCAACACTTTTGATCCGCACTTCTGATTGACACTTATGATCGACAGTTTGAGCAACACTGCGAAACCACACTTCTGATTGACACTGCTGAGCAACACTTCTGATCCACACTGCTAGCAACACTCCTGACCAACACTTCTGATCCACACTGCTCATCGACACTTCTGAACGACACTTCTGAGCAACACTGCTGAATTGACACTTCTGAGCGACACTTCTGAGCAACACTTCTGATCGACACTTTTGAGGAACCCTTCTCATCAACACTTCTGAGCAACACTTCCGACCCACACTTCTCATTGACACTTCTGAGCGACACTTCTGAGCGACACCTGATCAACACCTCTGAACCGCACTTTGTTTGATCGACACTTCTGAGCAACACTTCTGAGAGACACTTTTTCTGATCGACTTTTCTGAGCAACACTTCTGATTGACACTTCTGAGCGACACTTTTGAGCGACACCTGATCAACACTTCTGAACCACACTTTTTCTGGTCGACACTTCTGAGCGACACTTCTGAGCGACACTTCTTCTGATCGACTTTTCTGAGCAACACTTCTGATTGACACTTTTGAGCGACACCTGGTGAACACTTCTGAACCACACTTTTTCTGATCGACACTTCTGAGCAACACTTCTGAACTTCTGAGCGACACTTTTTCTGACTGACTTTTCTGAGCAACACTTCTGATTGACAGTTCTGAGCAACACTTTTGATCCGCGCTTCTGATTGACACTTCTGATCGACAGTTTGAGCAACACTGAACCACACTTCTGATTGACACTGATGAGCAAGACTTCTGATCCACACTTCTCGTCGACAGTTCTGAGCAACACTTCTGATCCACACTGCTCATCGACACTTCTGAACAACACTTCTGAGCAACACTTCTGATCGACACTTCTGATCGACACTTTTGAGGAACCCTTCTCATCAACACTTCTGAGCAGCACTTTTGACCCACACTTCTGAGCGACACTCTTGAGCGACACCTGATCAACACTTCTCCGACGTTTCTGAGCAACACTTCTGATCGAAACTTTTGATCGGCACTTCTGAGCAACACGTATTTTCATCCGCACTTCTAATTGACACTTCTGCCCGACAGTTTTGGCTACACTGCTGAACCACACTTCTGATTGACACTGATGAGCAACACTTCTGATCCACACTTCTCATCGACAGTTCTGGGCAACGCTTCTGACCAACACTTCTGATCCACACTGCTCATCGACACTTCTGAACGGCACTTCTGAGCAACACTGCTGAATTGACACTTCTGATCGACACTTCTGATCAACACTTTTGAGGAACCCTTCTCGTCAACACTTCCGAGCAACAAGTCCGACCCACACTTCTTCTGAGCGACATTTCTGTCAAACACTTCCGAGCAACACTTCTGAGCAACACTTCTGAGCAAAAGTTTTGATCTACGCTTCGGAGCTACACTTCTGACCAACACTTCTGACCAACACGTCTGATTCACACTGCCCATCGACACTTCTGATTCACACTTCTGAGCAACACTGCTGAATTCACACTTCTGAGCGACACTTCTGATCGACACTTCTGAGCAACACTTTTGATCCGCACTTCTGATCGACACTTCTGATCGACAGTTCTGAGCATCTGGTCAACACTTTTGATCCACACTGGTCATCGACACTTCTGAGCGGCACTTCTGAGCAATACTGCCGAGATCAATTTTCTGAGCGAAACTTCTGAGCAACACTTCAAACTGACACTTCTGCGCGTCACTTCCGAGCAACACTTCTGATCGACACATCTGATCGACACTTTTGAGCAACACTTCTGAGCAACACTTCTCTCACACACTTCAGAGCAACACTGCTGATTCGACACTGCTGGTCGACACCTCTGCCCAACACCACAATCGACAGTTCTGAGCAACACTTCTGATCGACACTTCTGATCGGTACTTCAGAGCGACACTTCTGCGCTGCACTTCTGAGGGAGCAACGCTTCTGATCCACACTGCTCATCGACACTTCTAAGCAACACTTCTGATTGACACCTCTGGTCAACACTTCTGATCCACACTGCTGAGATTAACACTTCCGACCGACACTTCCGAGCAACACTTCTGATTCGACACTGCTGATCGACACCCCTGACCGACACCTCTGATCGACAGTTCTGAGCAACACTTCTGACCGATGCTTCTGATCAGCACTTCCGAGCAACGCTTCTAAGCAAACACACACACACACATGTAAGCGACGCTTTTGAGCGACACTTCTGAGCCGGATCTGAGCAACACTTCTGGGCAACACTGCGCGGCACTCCTGAGCAAGACGTCTCATCCACACTTCTGATCTGATCAACAGTTCTGAGCAACACTTCTGATCCACACTTCTGACAACATTTCTGAGGGACACGTCTGAGCAGCACTTCTGAGCAACACTTCTGTTCGACGCTTCTGATCGACACTTCTGAGCAACACTTCTCATCGACACTTCCGAGCAACACTTCTGTCGACACTTCCGAACGACACTCCTAATTGACACTTCTGAACTTCTACATGGACACTTGCGATCGACACTTCTGAACGACACTTCTGTCTCCAAATGCGCACCGCGCCACAGGGAGAGGCCCAAATGCGCACCGCGCCACAGCGAGAGCGATTCGACCCACCCAAGGTGCGCAGAGGGTTCGCTTTGCGTTCGCAAAATGTGCACCGCACCACAGCGAGAGCGATCTCGTGAGTCAAAGTGACGTGCTTGCCACGAAATCTACACACGGGCGCACTCAAAATGCGCACCGCAGCACAGCGAGAGCGTTTCGACCCACCCAAAGTGCGCAGAGGGTTTGCTTCGCGTTGTCAAAATGTGCACCGCGCCACAGCGAGAGCGATCTCGCTGAGTCAAAGTGGCGAGTACTTGTTTGTCAAATTGATGGAACACATGTTTCTTCAAGTTGCTCAGTCAGGAGCGTTTTTTGCCAAATAGAGTTCAGTCGGTTCAAAGCTGGCGCAGTGCAAGATTGGACGCCTCGAGATGACTTGTGGGACTTTGAATTCTCCATGATGGTAAAGGCATGGGGCAATGGGGCAACTCATCCAGAGGGCGCAGCTTAGGCCTGCCTGGCCGAGAAGGAGCCGTTGGCAAATCATGTGGGGGGGAGAGCAGACGCGTGAGCAGATCCCAAGCATGCCCACCTGGAAGGACCACACAAGTGCACCAGAGCCTGGTGAATCATTTCTTCGGATGCTGAACGCAGCCAACAGGTTGCCATGATTTGCGTTCTTGGGGGGGCATGCCTAGTACATGATTTTGGGCGACATGTTCATCCTACTTCAGCCGTGTTGGATGTACCTTGCAAACCGGCGGTGCTGCGAGAGTACACAGCCTTTTACAAAATCATTTAAGCAAATCCGGCTGAACATGGGCTTGGACGCCATGTGAACACACACCTGCTGCGTGACAATCCCTTCCCCCGAGTAGTATAATATTTAGAGCAAGCACAACAACATTGCCCTGGGAACAAAAAACAATGTTTGTTATTAGGGCTCCCCAGTTCCAGGTTTGGGACGTTTGGGATGTCCAGTCTTGTGTTTTTGTTCACTTTGGTGGGGGGAAGGGTAGGTCATGAGCAGCCAACAAGTGTTCCAGAATGATGTTTTCAGGTATTTTTGTTTAGACTGTTCAATCCCCCGTTGTAAGTTGGCTGTTTAAGAAGGACATTTTTACGGATTCTATGGCATGCCCGACACAAAATCAATCTTGGCCGGCCTTTGCGGCCTCTAGAATCTGGATTGATTCGAAGACCGGATTCTTATCTTCAATCCATATGCAATCCAAACACATGGCACGCTCTCTAAACACATGGCAAGCTCAGATGCATGCTCAAGTTTGAGAGGTTGGCAGAAAGTTGAAGTGACTCAACAGTGCCGGGTTCTCTCACAAACACTTGAAACATTGCAGCACATCATTCAAATCCTGCTTTTGTCATAAACAGTGTGTCCACATTTGCCAGAAGTTTTTCCACGTTCCAGACACCAAGATCGCGTCGAACACAACCAAGCTATGTGCCTATATATGTGTTGCTATGCTAGACTGCAGGACTTGTCGTACGAGAGCAGCTCTGGCGAGCCCGAGAGCTTTACGCAGGCATGCACTGCGCAGGCGAATGTAGAAACATGAGTTCTCGAAGAACCCGGGCAGAAGTGTGGATATAAATGTGACATCCTTATACGTCCCTGTTGGACGAACCATTTCAGTTTCAGTTTCAAAGGAATACTTGGGTGCGAAATACAAGGAGCCTCACAAGCGTGGGGAAGGTGTTGCTCAGCCACCAAGTGAATGAACATATTGGCATTCGCAGAGTTGGCCTGACCTATTTAGATCAAATAGCCTTCAGTCAGCTTCACATGCGAAGAAAATCACGGTATCCGTATTCTGGATAGTTTGAGGCCATGAGAGGCCGCATGGGTCTGAGGGCCCGCACAATTTGCCACAAAGATTGGCTTCCCCATGTTCTCTTTGGGGAATAAATGATGCATGCCCTCTTTTTCCCACGTCCTTACCCAGCGGGAATGATGAACATGATGCATGCTTATGTTCACTTAAATTATACATCCCCTTTTTTCCACGTCCTATCCGAGGGACCATGATGAACATGATGCATGCTTCAATGCTCAAGGCTTCGCCCGACAAGAATGTGCCGGTGAAGCCACTCGCAAGTTCCACGGCAAATGTCTCGACCGAACGATTCCGCCACGCGAATCCGACGCAGATCAGCCAGCCGGGTACTGCGCTGATGCAAGCCGATGCCTCGGAGGGTTGGAAGTTGGCAGCTCGAAGCTTGGGTTTGTTTGGTCGGTTGCTTAGCCCGGATTCTAAAAAATATGTATATAAAAATAGAATGTCCTGAAGGGAACGAGAAGGGAGTAGAGTCTTCGTTGTGTTTGCGGTTGTATTCGGAATTCGGCATCCAGTAAACATGAAGCGTTTCACAAAATGACAGGCATCCCACCACACATGACTTGCGAACACGTGTTCCCAGGCATTTGGAGATGCCAGTGATGGCAGCTGCGATTGTGCGTGTGTGCGCGTGTGCGCGCGTGTCTGTGTGTGTGAGAGTGTTTGTGCGTGGGTGGTTTTCTCGAACGCAGAGTGCGAGCTAAGGCCCAGGACGGAGAGAGCTACGAGGAGACGGTGGAGCAACCAGGCAGGCCGTGATCTGGGAAGCGATTGGCGGCATGGAAGCAGGGGTTGCTTGCTGCATTGTCCTGCGTTGAGAATTGTTGCGTTGCAGAGTGGTGATGGCATTGTGCAAGCAACTGGTTTTCTTTGAGTCCTGGACGGCGCGCATGCAACTTTGTGTGTTGGTGCTGTTGGTGTGTGTGTGTGTGTGTGTGTGTGTGTGTGTGTGTGTGTGTGTGTGTGTGTGTGTGTGTGTGTGTGTGTGTGTGTGTGTGTGTGTGTGTGAGCGTGGCCTTTTACGGGCAGAACTGTCAAGAAATATGAAAGACAATACAGTCTGCCGTGCTTTACCAAAGCTTCGCACTTGCGAATGTTTCAGCAGGCTTTCGGATTGAGCCGAGGCGCAGCCAGTGCCTTCGAGCAGCTGCCTTCCGTGTGGTGCGCCCCACACCGGTCACGCCCAGGGTGCTGATCATATCATATGCACGTGGTCCCTATAATATACTTGTACAGGGAGTTCAGCAGGTTTTGTTGCGGATGCGAAGTCAGTAAAATGACTTCCTTGTTTTGAGTATGCACCCCACATCATTCTCCTTGGTGAGTAATTCGAGTTGGGTTCGCTACGTATGATAGCTTATGGTAAGGGCGCCGTGAGCAGAAAGACCAGGCATGCACAGATCCAAAGCACTTCGAACTGCAGCCAATGAGCAGGGCCCAACAATATTTGTTCCATTGTCAAATTGTCAAAGTCATCCCTGGTTTTTGGCAACCCGAGGAAGTTTGTTTCCAGTGCAGCTTTTCCTATGAGAGTCAGCCAGACAGTTCAACCTTGATACAAATCGTCAAGTTTAGTGTCGATGCCTGACAGTGTAGCGCATGCGCGCTTGCCATGTGCCCCCTGCCCGTTGTTTGCAGAAATAATGTCAGGTGCCAGTGTTGTAGTTTGATGTTTTTTCTGTCATTTGAAATGATGAGTCTCAATTGCAGCTTGGTCATTTCTTGGTTTTGCCATGTCATGGCATGGTTTCACCTGATCATCCTCAGAACCTTTGCTGTTGAGATCGTATTGTGACGTCTGGGCCCCTGGATCTTGTTGGTTCGCCATCACATCGCAAGGCAAGGGAGTACTTGTTGAAACGAGTTTGAGCCCTGGAAATGGCCGACTTATACTTCAACGCCAGGGCGGCCGGCCGGAGATTGGTGAGCTTTGCACCTCAAATTCCGTTTGCATCTCGACGCTGTGATTGAAGAGGCAGTGTTCTCTTCTTCTCCAAGTTCCTTTCGTGCCCTGAAACCGCCTGCAGGTTTCATCATCTTTGCGCCACGGCGGTGTGGATCTCCTTGGCAGGAGCGGGCGTGGGCGTGGCTTCCGGTGGCCGCCTCGTTGCTGCGGGCGTGGGTGAAATCTCAAGTCAAGCGAAGCGAGAGGTTTGTGGCACCGTCCCCCTTGCATTTCCTTTTCGGGTGCAACCACGGACAAAAAACATCAGCCCAAAAGATGCGCCTGCTTGGGATTCTTCATGTGTCCTTGGCAAGGTTTGAGACGCACCAGCATTTACAACCTGCCGAGCTTCCGCTCAGAGCTAGTCCGTTGTTGTAAGCTTCTGACGGTCGCACCATGGCGAGTCTGCCCAGATTCAAGACAACGTGTTTGAGCGGTTCAACAGGAAACTCGTTCTTCCAGATCAACTTCAGCATACTTTGGCTTCCCATTTGACCAATGAGCTAGTTCTGAGAAGAACAATAAGTAACATTCCTTTTTCAATTACCGTGTACATCCGTGCTTCGCATGGGTGTCTTAATTTGAGGATCCCCGTCCTTTCGGGTCAATTGAGAAGGAAACCAAAGTTCGAAATCGGCGACAAACCCATGGCTCTGCCTGAGAGGCGCTGCCGTCTTCCAGACCTCCGCTAATATCATCTCGGTGGTGTGCCCTATAGAGCTGCGTTGTAAATCTGATGACAGGTTCTGTATGACAGGAAGCACTGGGAATTAGATACGCAACGTGTTTTGTCCAACTATGAATTAGATGCGATTGTTTGTTGGAACAATGCTCTTCCCAACAGAATCGCAGGGCGAAGGGAGATTCCTCCCAACATGCCTTTGTATTTGGTTCCATGTTGAATTTGAGGAGAGTATCCTTGCTGGGAGGCTCCAGCAGTTGCATGTGCCAGCCCTCGATGACTCGTCATGAGTAAGGCCTTGATGATATTTTGCTGTTTTGTGATGCGACACAAAAGTGGGTGACCAAGTATGTATATATATATTATCTAATATATATATATATATATATTAGAACACGAGAACATGTGCAAGAACTCTGATACATGTCACAAGTCGAAGCCAAAGCCGACAAATTCGCAAGTGAGTGGAATGCGCTCTTAATATGCATTTACATATTAATATACACATACATGCTTTGTTCGTCTTACACAAGTGGAATTCCCGCCCTAAAAATAAGAAAACCGCAACAGGGCACCGTGTGTCTGAGTCCGAGGAGGCAGATCACAGTCCTTCCGAGACAGAGCTTTGGAGGTCTGTGATACATGTCCTTCTGGGGTGCGGGCAATAGCAGTGATAGGCCTTCGTCCAATTTATCTCTTCACTTAGGAGGTTTAGTCGAATCACAGGAGTGGAAGCTATTTAGTTGTTTGCCACATCTCAGTTGCTCATTCTTTCGGCTATGCAAATTGGTTTCAAGTGACCCTTCCTTTGGTGTCCAGATGTGCGACTCCCAGTATCTTCTACTGCCACACTTCCTGATTATTAGACTAATTCCCCATGTCAACCTCTATGAGCTTGGTAAAGCCAAACATACTAGGGGTAACTTCCCCATTCTTTCCAGGATCCTTTTTTCTAGAAAACCACAACAAAAACCCGGCTCAAGACAATTTCAATCGTAGGGACCGTTCCAGCAGTTCCTGTCCAAAGGGTCCCACCGCAATACCCGTGAGGTACATGCTGCTCCTCTTCTGCTGCATCTACACCGCAGGCCTTGGTTGCGAGCCGAGAAATCTCCCAAAGCAAGAAATCAGGGCGGCAACGTCCAGTTGCTTAAGAATACGTGTTTTTGTGTTTGTTTCTTCTTCTTTTATTTGTTTTCCGTGTTGTCCATTCTTTTTTTTCCTTGTTGATTTTAAAGGGAATCTATCACTGGACATATTTTCGTACGTTTTTCCGGGAACCTTAAGCAAATCCGGGCGACAAGCGCACACCGGACGCCCCACATGTGATGGCAGGCGTCACCAAGCCGGTGCCGCTGCGGAAGCGCATGAAGGTGCTCCGGGCGGTCCGGGGCTTCAACATGCCCCCCGGCAGCGGACTTGCGCGCTTCGGAGCGACCGAAGGGAACCGGGGGAAGAAAGGGAGTGATTCCGGGGCCAAGGAGGTAGTGGTGGACTTTGCTTTTTCACTGGTGAGTCAAAATCTATAATTAATAGAGGTGGCATGGTCGCCTTGAACAAAAGATGATAACTTACCATTTCTAGGGGTTTGTAGCTGTGACGCCTAGCCACTTCTTGCGAATGGACATTGCATCACATTATCGTAGCTCCATGCCTATGGCCACATCAGCTGGGCGACGGATGCCAAGGCTGATCATGGTGATCTGGGCAATCTACCAATGTCCATCACTGCCCTGCCCGCTTTTGCTGCAGCTTGCTGATGAAGGCGGGTCAAGCGACCGTGGCGTCGGACGCATGGTCAGCCAGCTGAGCCATTGACTGATTGCCTAATTTCTCAAGATTGCTTGGAAGCAGTGTCCACCTTGATATGTTGCTTGTGCCTCAGATCAGGGGAAGTGGATTAAAGCTCCCAAACCTTTTGGCAGCCATGTTTAAGATTGGCCGTTCTGCTTGTTTAACGTTTCTGAAATTTTCTGAAGGTCAGGCCATGCCCATCCATTCCGAGTTTATGGCTGCAAGACACCCAGTTTGCGGAACAGGATTCTGCAGACTGTTCCCAGGTTGCTGTAATCCCAACGATCTGTTGTACCCATCGCTCTTTTGGGACAGCTTTCAATTTGCTGGATGTTTGGATCTTTTTCAGGACAGTCATGTAAAGAAAAAAAGGGAAGTACAGCTGAGCAATGCTGCTCCTTGCGCTTTCAACAGCCCAGCAGCCCAGTAATGTGCCACCTGTCTCTCACACTTAGGGGCAACAGATTCTGTGAGTCTTTTCAAAATTGCGCCGCAGCAAGAGGCGAGTTGTTCAAGCTGTGTCGGGCCGCTGTAAAGTTCGGCGTTCATGTTTGTCACAGGATTTGTCCTGTCCTGTTTTGCATATTACCAAGGCTCCCAAGCACAGGATTTCTGAAGATGGTGGTTTGCTGGACTCAAACTGTCTACCTTGTTTGAAGGCAGTTGACCTCTGGGCTTACGTCAGGCAGCACCGCCTTCCTTGGCCCGACGCAATGCGTGTGGCTGGAGGCACACCCCTCGCCACTCGGATTCGATTTCGTAGTCCTGCCAGAAAGAAGATATATAATTTGCTTCCGTATGGATTCAAGCCTTTCCAATATGAATCGCTATGGGGATCCAGGTAATTGGAGAGTGCCACTGTCTGCATCAAGTTCGAAGACATTGGCTTCGGTCGTCTGGGCATACATGCTATTGACCAGAAGCCGCTTCCCAGGCGTTCGAATCCAGCTTTGCAAAGCTCAGTTGCCGTCCTGGTTAGACCATTTGAATGGGGCTGCGAACGATTGGGTACTCGAGTCTTGTGGGCGCCTGGGGAGTCTTTAGCTTTTGTCACCAGATGAGTTGGTGTGGGTATGTCTTAAAAGTAGGCGAAATTCTCAAAGGGTCGATTTCCCTTTTCAACTCTTTTCAAAGGTAACACACAAGCGCGTCCTTATTCTATGACGCGCCCCCTTTGAGGCTGAATTTGCGCAGAGCACAGCATATCTCACCACCACTTGAAGCCTTGCGCATTTAGAAGGAGAAGCCAAATGAGCGGTTCTTGTTTCCGCTCAAGCAAAATGTCTAGAGGTGGACATATGAACAAGAAAGGAAACACCACACTGCAGACGCGGAAGGTTTTGCGGAAGGTGTTTTCCCCGCAGAAGCTCGCGGAAGGGACAGGCAGCACATAGTGACATAGTGGTTTGATTTCGTTTGGGCCGGTTTTTGCCAAACAAGGTGGCCTTATACTGAATGCGAATTCCCTCGCGGAAGCTACCTTCCTCAATTGCCAGAAGCAACTTGCCCGAAGCGATGGCAGCATTTTTGAAAGCACTTGCAGCTGCTTGTCGCTGAGGCAGTCCTCCTACGGCGCTGGCGTCATGCGGGGTGTCAGCATCGCACTGCAGAGCGTGGGGCTGCGCAAGGCAGGTTTGTAGCTGCTGGGTGCTATTGCGTGGTTTTGCGTGCGTCCAAAGCCCAGATTGTGCAGCAAGCGTTTGGGTTGCTCCTGTGTGTAAGTTGTGTTGCTTGCGCGCTCTGGTTGTCGGTGTTGTTTGCTTGCTCTGCTTGGCTCGGCGTTGACCTGTTTCTTTGTGTGTTGGATTGCCTTATTACTGAGGTTGCTGATGCTGTTCTTTATTACCGGCATGTTTGTCAACGCAGCCGGTGTTGTTTTGGTTGTTCACTGGGTGTGGTTGCCACCATCATCACCAGTAGAATGTGCTGCCTGTTGTTCCATCTTGTTGTTATCGCTGCACGGGGCCGTTAGTTGCCGTGTGCGTGTTGCCCGTGCCATGTATATATATATATATACACGTACATTTATATATATATATATGTGATCATTGTTGGTTGTGTTGCCATGGAAGTCGTCATTTTTATTTGGTTGCTGTTTGACGGTTGACTGCTTTTGCCGTGACCTGGTATTGATTGCTCTTCTCGGCGATGGCTGTGATGATCTTTTTGGTAGCAGCGGCGCTTCCGCAATGCAGCTCATTGAACGGCAAGCCTCTCAGGTTGTCCAAGTTGCGCATTATATAACGAGGGGTGTTCGACACATCAACCAGGCTACCACTGGCGTAGGATGAAACTGTGCGAGAGCAATGCCAGGAAAGCCAGGCTTGCCGGATTCATACCCATAACTGTGCAAGGTTCAAGAGCACAAGCTTCCATGCAGTAGCAACTTAAGTTACAGGAGGCAACTTTGCAAGCAGCAAAGATAGGCCGAGTGCCGGGCTTTTGTTTTTGTTGCCCAGCATTTCCATGACTGACGCACAGCCGGCATTTCCCTTGCAAAGCTGGTCAGAAGATTGGCGGCCACACAAATTCGCAAGATTTGCAGATTCCTGTAGACTTTCACAGTGCCTTCATTGGCCTGAATGGATAGCACGTTTCAGGCTTATGTATGGGTACATTGGCTCGATGATGGATGGAGCCTTAGGCTGGAAGAAACATGAATCGTGCAAGAAGTGTTTGGGACGAGAAGGCAAGATGCAGCTGTTTCTCCGCTTATTTGCAAAGAGGATAGTCCATGTTGTAGTAGTTCTGCCAGATCATGCAGAGGCATTTGTCAAATTTTCGAGAAAACGAGCTGCATCAGCTGCCTGGCAGGTGGCCAATACAATCTTCTTTGACTGGCTCAACGTCTTGAACATCGCTGGGGCGCCAAGTTGCCTTTGTTCTGCCCGGTTTTCTCGCCGCAGATTCAAGATATGTGTTATCGAACTTAATAGTCCGGCGTTTAGTCACGTAATATCATGTGCATTTATATATATATATATATATAATATATATATATATATATATTACAATATGTCTAAGACTCACGGCCTGACTTCGGATTAACTTCATCAAAAGCCCTTGGCGGTGTTTGGTCCCCCAGAGATTTTGATGAACGCCTTCTTAGCTCAGAGGAAAGCGCAAGCGCAAGTCTGTACCCTCCCTTAGGCTGACATGCAAACCCCGAGAACTCGTTCATTTTTCCACGGTACTGAGAGGGCACGTGAAAGACTCGGGCCCTAGTCTGGTTTTGTGCTCGGGCCTGGTTTTTTGGGACGCAGAGGTCAAAGCATGCTATGCTTGATCGCTGTCCATGGTTGCGCAGGTTCAGGCGAGGGCACGCCAGGTGAATTCGAGGCCAGATGTGAGGTGTTAGTTGCATTCTGATACTACAATACAGACACACCGCCTGTTCAAACCTTAGGCCTAAGCACTGTACAAGAGACAGGGCCAATTAAGAGTAGCATAAGCAGGATTCAGGGCATTGTTCTTAGATTTGTTGCATTGTGGGCCGCAACTTCATTTGTTCGTTTCACTGCTGGGGTGCTTCCTTTCTGGACACATGTGCCATGGTCAAACACATTTGTCCAGCGCGGGCGATTCCGGGCCCTTTGCTTGGGGGATAGAAAACTGAGTAAACGCATTATTGCTGTCGTGGGAACCATCACCATGGCCCACAAAGATGTGTGACCATTGCACAAAGTTGGCTGTGTATGCTTGCAACATTATGTGTCGGCTTGAAATTGAATCTTGGACTTTACACTTTCAGCAGCCGATGTGTTACATATGCAGAGGGCAAACTGCAAGAGAAAGCCTTTGTTCTTGCTTCGGCATCGTCAATTTTTGACGCGACAATAGAAATATAGACGACGCGTAATGGACATTGCAACAGTGAAAAGGGGTCAAACAGGGACAGTTGGGCTTGGACACTGATGATTTGGCAAAGCTTAGGTGCAACATTGCATGCTGGCCAACTGCCATGATCTGAGTGTTGACCATTGACTCGGCAAGTCGTTGAACCATAGGTGGCGCCGCAGCGTTTGTTGGTTTTCGAACAAGAAGGCTAAGTCGGTGGTTTTGTTGGGAAATGGAGGACTTGCATAATATACAGAACATAGTCAACTCAGCTTGCAAGCACTGTGCCAAAACGAGCTTAGGGTAAACCACCGCGAGGTCTTTGCGTTGTCCATTTACCTGCCCCATGACACGCACAACGGCACACACGTGCCCACCGTGATCCGCGAGGCCATGTTCTTCAGCGCGTCGCTGCTGGCCATGATCTGCTCACGCTGGGAGCGCCAGCTGGCAGCCCAGCTCGAGGCGCGGAACTCCATGCGCAGTGGGTCGGTCGGTCTTGGGGAGCACCCTTGGTTGTAAAGGGAAGGGTGATGTTGAGACAAGCCCTATAAGTTTTCGGGCCCCAGCCTTTCAACTTATTTTGGTGCATGGGGTGGACCCTGGCAACGGGGGTTGAGCCTTTTGTACGCAGTGTTTGTGGGGCAAACCACCGGGCGACCCCAAAGGCAAAACGCAGCAGTTTGAGCCTCGGACCGGTCCAACTTTGGGCGGCTTGGCCTCGTTTTTTGGTGGTAGCCCCACTCGAGCACAGATAACGGAAGCAAGCATTGGAGTATTTGTTGAGATGCAGCGGGTTGGATAAATGGGACAGGGTCAGAAAACCCATTTCAGGCTCAACTTAGCTGACCAAGCTTAGCTAGGCATACCTAGACAACGGCTGAAGCGCCACTCAACACACCTTCCAGGCTTCAGAATATGAGGGTGTCTCGTTTTTGGTGCAACCAAGCGGAAGACCGAAGGGAGACGACCCATTTTTTGGTGGTTCCCAGGTTTTGCAACATACCCATGTATACCTCGGATCCTTGCGGCGTGTGGCGTGTTGCACAGACAAATTGAACGCTTATATGAGGCCAGGCGTAAGGTAAGCGCCCGGCGCTTCCTGTCGAAAGCATCACCATTCCTTGACAGTTCGCGAAAGCCAGCCAGAATCTGCGAGGTTGGAAGCGCAGTTGCTGACGGCACAACAGCTTGTATGCCAAGTGTTTGTCTAGTGCCCTTTGTTTTTTATCGGTGAGTTTTGATTTGAGTTTAATCGGCAAAACAAGGTGTCCCCTTGTTGGGCAATTGGAAAAAGGTGTATTCCCGTTTATTTTGTGTTATTGTTTAACTCCCATTTAGGAGGCCCCTTTTGGATGGTGCGTATATAAACGGAAACCGAGCAGAACACCTCTTGCTGCTCTGAGTTTTACTCTCGCACCTGAGGGAGGATACCTGGAAGATCAGTTTCTTTTAAAGACCCGTGTGAGGAGGTGCAATGGCAACGTGGGAGCGAGTGTAGTCGTCCTTGATTCATTGCACTTGCTGCTGCTCAGCAGGAAATGAGAATTGGAATGACCCTATAAACCACCCTTGGGGTTTTCTTTAGGGGAATATCCAGGTTCATTCCCTCATTCCCTACTCTAGGTCCCCCAGTAGTGCCCTTTGACCCTTTTTTGGGGGAGGGTTCCCCTACCAAAATAGACGGTGCCTTTTTTCTATCCTCTCTACTGGAGGACCTAGTACTTCTCGCACCGGTTTTTCCCTTGCGGCCCCCTCCCCGTCGCACCAGCTGTAGGAGGACGCCCTGGAGCTGCAGCAGCGCTCGGGCTTCTACGTGCAGCACGTGGCGCGGTGGCGGTCCTTGGAGCTGCAACAGGCCGGGACTCGGAGCTCCGGAGCTCGGAAGTCCAGGTTTTCGCCCAGTCAGCAGCTGGGAGCCCCCGAAATCCCACGAAAAATGGCATTGGTCCCCCACACACACACACCCCTAGTTGAGGGGTGGGGATGAACTCGGAATCCGGGGTCCGGGGCATCAGGATGTGAGGGGCTCAAAGTTAAACCAGGATATGGACTGCAGATTCGAGGTTTTGTGTTTTCCATTTACCAGGGTTCCAATTCAGATACCGATTTTTGACCCACACCCATGTTGTCGTCTAATACTGGTACGTGCCACAACCAGTTTGGTTTGCTCGTGAGTGTCTTTGCGTTTTGTGTATTGGCAGTATTGTTGTATTCGTGGTATGTTTGCGCATTCATTTTGTGTTCACACTTTATATGTTGTTGTTGGCTCTTCGAATCGAGGATCGACCAGTGCAACATGTAGGGTAATCAACATGTTGGTCCCATGTGCAATTATTCCACTCTGGGCCGGAATTGTGTGGGGAAGGGTGAAAACCAGCGAATTAAGTCGGTGTCATGTGGCATGTTTTTTTTTTCAGGGTAGGTGAAACACCAGAGAATCATGTGGCAGATCAATCTCACTCGGGCATGTCTTGGGGGGCGGGTAAGAAGCTTCTGGAAAGATGATACGCGATTATTCCACTGTGATTTGCGGGTGGGTGACATCCCTTCCAAGATCAAACTGCAAAACAAGGTCAGACAGCCATCAGCGGTCCCGCTGTGTTGAGCCTCTTGAGCAGTGGCATCGAGCAGAGTCGGCATGGCTGCGCCTTTGCTATTTGAAGCGTTCTCCAAACTCCAAAGTACCATGTTTACCGTGGATGTCAACAAGTTTGGGTCTTAATTCTACTGGGAGGCAAAGTTTGCAAGGAGCTGGCCACAAGTGCGAGCCAACATACCCAACTTATGCAAGAGGCGTACTTGCCCCGTGTTGTTTCTGGGCAATTTTACACTACCGGAATTGCCATTGGACTTGTCTTACTGGGGTTTTCTAATTGTGGATATTGTATATAGAAATGGAATGCACACAATTTGGTCTTGCAGATGCATGTGATGAAGGCTGCCTTGTCCTGGAGAGTTGCAGAAGAAAGGGTGCCAAACATTTTAGGCAGACGGATATTCCAGAGCTGTGAATGCAAAGAATCTGAATGCAATCACGAATTCGGACATTGCAGATGCTTGTGCTGTTCCTCCTTGTCGTGTGCGCAGTGGAGCGTGAACGTAAATCATTAAATCATTCTCGCCATGCTCATTTTTCCCATGTCATTTACACAGTGGAACAACTCAATCCTTCGACATTCCGTTTTCATTGATGCAGCGGAATGGGCACATCATCATGTTGGGCATGCGAGTGTTCAAAAGTCATGCATACAGCTGCATACAGTACAAAAAGGGTTGTGTGTGTGTGTGTGCGCGAGCGCGGATTTGAGCATAAACATGCTGAAAGCAAAATGACAAACATGCAAATGCCACGCAACTTCCAAGGCTAGGTGAGCCAAGATGTGGGTATGAGTCAAAATTAAACAATCAGGGGACCGTAGGTTTTAGTCCATTTTTCCATTTGCCAGGGCAAGCCATGTTGGGGATCCCTATTTCTGACCCACAGCCATGAAAAAAATAGATACGACCTTGACAGAAGCAGAGCCTCTTGGGCATTCCTGCATTCCCCCGCAAAAATGGGACAGCTCACAGCTTCAGGTCGCTACTAAGCACTGGGTGCTCCGGGAGAAGCTGTCGCTCGGTATGAAGTGCCACGTTTTGGGGCGCGGGTCGAATGCGTGGGTGTCTCGGTTTGCTTTCCCTTCGAACTCGAAGCATAGGTGTCCTTTTTGGTTGTTTAGGTCGGAAAATAGATGGCGATTCCTGGTTTACCTGGTGGTTTAATCATCTACCAGGGCCATCTATTTGCCCCAAAAGGACACTTATGAAGGGAAGGCTTTCAATCGCCAACCTCGATGATTGCAAGTGGAACCCAGAAAGCCCCTTCGCTGATTTGCTTTGTTCGTGACATGTGGGAATCTACTGTATTGCCAAGAGAGGGCCAGGATTTAGTGCCATCCCACCAGGTACGTTTCAGGGGTACATTGGCTCGCAGATACACTTGATACACCATTCTTGTGGCTGTGAGTTGTTGTTAGATCAATTTGCGTCAGGCGTTTTCTGTGCAAACCATTATTCGCTGCCATGATGTCTCATGGAATGGGAGATCGCATTGCCTTAGTTAATATTTTACCTTGCCACCAGAAAACGTGTTGTGTTGTTTGCTCTATGTTTGCGTCCAGTAGACTGCCATGCTTAGCTGAGACGAGGACAGAATCATCCATCATCAGGGAGGTCAGCGAACAGATGACAAGTAGACGTCAAGTAGACACATTCTCACACACAGACATGCAAGGAAGCCAACATCAGAGCATGTGCTCCAGTCAGTTGAGCGTGAGTCCAGTTTTGACTGGACCGTTCATAGCCTATACAATAACGTTTACTTGTTTTTGGGTTACGCAGCAATGTGGTTTTGCCGTCGAAGTAATTTCTCAATCATCGGGATTAAGGATTAGCCAAGCTGTTGTTTTACAAAGTTCGTTTGAAGTTTGCATCCCCACACGAAGACAATCAATCAGTGCTACTTTCATGCTTAGCGTCGGTTATTGCCGACTAAGGGTGTGGCAAATTTGCAACAATCATTTTTGCAACAATTTACTTGGATGCTTCCAAACACAGAGACCCCTCCACACTGTGTGGCTTTGCCTTGTGTGCTTCCCGGCAGATGGGTGTCAAATTTCAGGATTTTGAGTAGAAGTTAATTGATCCTCTCGGTTCCCCAGTTTGGTCGATTAGTCTGTTTCCCGGCAGATGGGTGTCTCATTTCTGAAATTTAAGTACAAGTTATTTGACCCGTTCGGTGCCCCAGCTATATGTTAGTCATCCCAAAGGGTGATGGCATTGTCTGGTCTTTGTTTGTTTGTGTAGGTGACCACCCTTCAACCACTAGAAGAAAAATGGGATCCACCGGGCAAGTGAGCATCCGAGGCGGGACTTGATCGAGCACCTGAATAACCTACGCGCCTCTCGGCCCTATCTTGCCAGGCAAAGCACGCCCTTTGACTGAGTTTCCCTTGAGACAGCGAAGAAACCTCCTTTGAGAGTGTTCTTCATTCTTATGCTGATGGTTTTAAAAATGGATCCTGTGTCTTCGTTGCTCATCATTCAATAATCTGCAAATACGAACAATATGCTTGGTCTGGGGTTTACTCCGACTCCTGAGTCCTACTATTGTTCTTGGCCATTACGTTATCGAAATGCTCTTTTTGCAGGTGTTGTTCGCGTCCTCTATCTCGAACGTTTGTTGCCGTCTCAAACTTGCTTATTCTCCAGGAGTATCTTCTGACATCGGCTGTAGTTCTCCAAATTGGTTATCCCGAGGCGTTCTCTCGAAGGTGTTCTGTTCTCTCAAACCAACATCTATTTCTCCTTTGGCAATAGATATCCAGCTTCTTTTTGGCTGCTCAATAACCATAAACCCAGAGTGTTTCATTTCTCAAAGAAAGATGCAGCTTGTTTAGGCCCCCTGTTTGACCCGAATTTGCTTACGTAGACGGGCCCATAGCAAGCTCCGAGTGCAGGGCTTCGTCCATCTGCATTCAGCGCAGTCTTGCGCAATCTCGCCCAGTCACGGCGAGGCGTTCTGGGCCAATCAGGGCCGTGGCAAACCGTTGACCAAGGAGCGCCTCGTGCTTGATTTGGGGCTAGCCTCTAAGGAATCCAAGTACAAGGGGTAGGAGCAAATCCAGACCCCCCTAGTCAACACTCAGATTTGCCGATCTGCATCAGGCAGACCCAGGCATCACAAAAAAATGCGAAAGGACGATCACTAGTTGATGCGTACCGGACGATTTCATGCATCATGAAATTCAACCGAAAGTGTTTTTTTTTTTTCTCCGTTTGTTTGTGCCAGACAGGGCCAGAATGGGCCCGATTTGCATGATATTCACTTACACAACCAATCTGCGCATTGGAAGAGCTCAGGCAGCCTTTCTTGGCTGCTTTTGTTTGGTGAGGACAAACTATTGGGTTACCCAGCTTATCCTCACTGGAATAGGTTGGCTGGACGAGAGTTTTGGTTGACTCAGCTTTCTACCTCATGCTTTTGGTAAAACCATGAATGCCAGCTTGGCCAACGGGTTGGCTCACGGATGGGGACAGCGCCTGTGTTTCTGGCACTTTGCTGATAAGGCTTTTGAGGAATTTTGAGCGTGTCTTTTGAGGGAGCTGTCCTTGATGTGGGACCTCTAGAGTAATGACATTTATAGGAACACCGATTGGAAGACAGTCATGTTGGGAAACGAAACACTTTTGCGTGTCCAAATCCTACTTCAGACAGTATGCAGATATGGGGGCTGTCCCCAACTAGGAGCTTCTTCCTTTTTGGCGAGTTGCACAAGGAAACTGGAAGGACATCACAAGGGGTTCCTTGTTGGCAACCTCCGCATCCACCACTCACCAGCCTCCAATCGATACCAGGAGGAAAGCCGGCGGCGAGCGCGTGTGCTGGACCTGTGCCTGCTGGGAAGCTTAGGAATGTGACAATTGGGAATGTCCAAACATTGCTTGGGACAATTTTGGCCTGGTGTTTGAATGGAGCCCCCTTTTTTGGGGGTTCCTCGGTTTGGAAACACGCAATTGGAAACGTACTCCTTTCTGGTTGGTTGTGAAAAGAAGCAAACTCGCAAACACGGGCAGTTTTCTGAGCGTCCCCAGTTCAAAGATATAGGTACACGGTGAGGTGTGTCAAGAAGCAATGGGGCCGGTTTGGAAAAGGCAGTTTCAAGGACATGACTTTATCGCAGTTTTGGGAGGGTTTCTATTTACTCTAGCGTCGACAGACTCCCCCTTCAGATTTGGATTGTTTTGGGGACCCATCAAAGCTTCAGAGTGCAGGAAATCATCAGGAAGTCTTGCAAGTCCGATAGGGAGTCATTTGTCGATTTTATCTTGATCAACAGTCGGATAAAGAACCAGCCTTTAGGGTCCTAGTCAGTAAATAGCTTCTCAATGTCATTCAGAGCACTTAGAAGTCATTGGAAGATATCCACTGATTGTTGCCAACGGTGAGGCCAGTGTGGGTAGCACGCAAGGAATCATGAGGAATGACTTGATGTCTCCACAGAAATATAATATGGATTTTTCGTCAAAGGGAAGCCGCAAGGCATCCAAAAAACGGCCCCCGGCGCGGAGGTTTTCGAAGGTGCCTGTGAGCTTAGGCATTTTGATGGCAAACGACAAACAGCGGCAGGGTACCCCTTTGCAACGGTATGATAGATGCTTCACGGGGAAAATGCTGGCTGGCCCTGTTGGGGTCCCGCTCATTAACGGCAGCCCGAACTGATTCACAAGCTCCATACAGATAGATCCTCGGTGAATCAGCCAGAACCTCCTGGAGGCCCATGCCTGCCTTCTCCATATTTCGCATCGCTGTAGTGGCATCAACCACTGGTCATTTTTGTTCCTTGTTTCTCTCTGTCTCTCACTCTCCCTCTCTCTTAGCCACCCAGCGAATAGAATGTTGCCCTCCATGCTGCGGGGTTTATTTGGTCCCCTTTCGGACAATGGGAGCGGACAGGAGTTGCTTTTTTGAGCTGGCTGTTCCGAACCTTCTCATGCACGTCCTTGGTTGTTCTAAAGGTTGATCCCACATTCTTGTAATCCAGTGTTCACTTTGGTGCATTTTGCTTGGATGTTAGGACTTTAAAGTTTTGCCAATTAATGGGTTTTCCGTTAAACCACCAAAAGTTAAACTTTCAGCAGGGGAGCAGACAGCAACCAAGTTCATTTAAGAATGCCAGAGTCGCCCGTCGGCCGTTTTGTTTGACCTGAGCCACCCCCTAGGCGCACAGGCGCGCCCCCCTCGGAGATCGAGCCAGTGCTCGGGCAGTTCGTGGAGGCGCCCTTTGTCTTGTTGAGAGTGCTGAGGGTTGAAACGAGCATTTGTCCCCTGCAAAGATCTCCAAAGCGAAACCTGAAGGCGGTTGTGACAGAATCCTAGTTGAGACATGTTCAATTAACCGGCCTCTCCCCATTTCTGACACTGGCATGTAAGTGCTGAGCGAACTGCCCCCATGTTCCTTACGTTTCTTGTTTGTGGACATGACTTGACACTTCTTTGGGACAAATTGAATGGGACATTCAAATCAGCTTGAGTTCTCTTCTGGCCAGCGCATGCAGGAAGTGATTTGATGCGTATATGAGGGCTGTCCTAAAACCCCAGTCTTCGGCTTTAATTAACGCTGAACGGGGAGAAGTTCAAGTTGTCAAAAGCTGTGCGCGCGCAAGGAGCGCGCAAGTGCGGCCCAAGGGACGCGCAAGGTTACAGTGTTGAAGGGTTTCATGTACTGATGTTGCCTAGCTTCATGAAAGGCAGTGATATCTTCTTGCTGTACTTGTGCGTGCTTTTCGAATGTTGCTTGGGTCATGTGTAGGTCACAAGCTTGTTTGCAAAGGTGCGGTGTTTTCTTCAGTCAGACGCCAAACGAAGCCAAAACTTCTGCTGTCGTGACTTCAACAATCAGCAACTGACACGACAAAATCCGCACAAGCCGCGCGCAAGTTGCGCGCAAGTACGAGAAGCCCCAGCAAGACATCACATCTAGCCATGCTGTCTCGGATGTCCTTAGCGGCGCGGTTCAAGAAATGGATAGGCAGCCGCGACCTGCACCTTCCTTCTTTCAGGCTGTGTCCAAGCTGTGTGGCAGAGCCTGCTGTCCGTTCTGTTGGGTCAAGAGTATGTTGCTGGCCTAAAATTGCTGGGGGCGACCTCAGCGGGAAGAATCTTTGTGGGTTGCTGTGTGAACGACAAACACGCTGCTCAGAAAAGCTTGCGCGCAATCCACACGAAAACTCCGCAAACCGAGGTCAACGAAAATGAGTTTCTGCGCCACTGTGCGCGCGCAAGTCCGCGCAAGTGCCGCGCAAGTGCGGCCCAAGGGCCCAATCCCGGGCAAAGGAACATGGGACAACCCCCATATGCTGCTGGGCAAATGTCTTTTTCGCACGGGTCCTTACTCTGCATAGTGGTATCGTATCGAACACGTGCAGCTTGCCTGAGAACCCGGTTCTTCAATGTCCTCTTGCGGAAACATGATGGTCTAGCAACACCAGGTGAAGTTGACGAGCAAACATAGCCGACGACCTGGCAAATCATGATGTGTTCCTACTGAGTCACAACACGCCGCGTGTTGCTGGTGTACTACGGATACCTTTGGCATCCTTTGGCTTTGTGAGGTGATGCACTGCCTGAGTGGATGGTTTGCTGATTTGCCAGGCACTAACGGATGGTTTGCCAGGAACTAACGGATGGCTTGCCAGGCAGTAACGGATGGTTTGCCAGGCACCAAGGAGTTGTTCCCCGAAGTGTTACCGCGTGAATTCCGCCATCGAGTTCGATGGCGCTTTGCGAGGCGGCAGGCGTAGAGGACGAGACGGGCGGCAGCCCCAATCGAGCTGGGCAAATTATAGGAGCCTTGCCCATGAGCCAAAAGGTTGGAAGGGGGTCAAACAGAGAAGTTGGAGGGTTGGCGAAACAGCTCCTTTTTGATTTTCTTGGGCAACAAGGGTGTTGGTTGCATGATGATAGCTCCAGTTGGGATGGGTAGTGTCTTGTTACTCACCCGAATGTTGGTAGAACCCAGGTACAGCACAGCCTACTTGTTTTTTTTCCAATAGATGAACTTTGTGCAAGCCTGGAAACCTACTTTGAACCGGGATCTAGAAAGTAACCTGATTTTCCCTGAGATTTGAGGAGATAGGGTAGGTAGGTGGGATGGTCCTTCGTTTTAGCATTTCCGCAGATTCTGGGCGTAAACCTACCTCAAGCGCACCCTAATCCAACGCTAGACCCAGCTGAAGCATAAACTAACCCCCTCTACACCTACCCTGCATTCACCCTAAACCAAGCCCAGCCCATTCTAGACCTAGCTTAAACTCATCTTGATCCTGCCTTCAACACACCCTACACCAATCCTAAGCCCATCCGAAACCGGCCCTAAAGCCCACCCTAGACGCACCTTAAATCACACAAGATCCCACCTTGAACCGGCCCCTCAGCCGATCTTAAACCCAATCCCTCGCCAGCCCAACCCCAAACTCAAGCGGCCCATAACCCCCAAACCCTTCCCAAGCTCACCCTGGACTCACCCCAAGCTATCCCTACATTCACCCAACTTGAGTGTGCCACAAATCATCCTTGAACCCACCCAACATCTCGCCCTTAACCATCCTTCCGCAATGAGATTGTTTCAATGTTCATGGCCTCTCTTTGTAAGCTTTGGCGCTTGCCGTACAGCGCCTCAGACAGACACCCATGTGCATCAAGCAATTCAAAGGATACCATACACCCGATACACCGCTGTGCTTCGCCGCTTTGCCAACACGTGAAGCTTGTGGTTCTTGGAGCTGGACGCCCATGAGGCTGAATGCTCAGCTCACAACCGCCTACCATGCAACATTCAGCTCGATCAGGCAGTTGTCTATCAGATGTTATGTAGTTATGCATTCAATGTCAACAGCTTGTTTGAGGAGGATAGTTCCCAGATGTTGCTAAGCAGTAGCTGTCTAGCACCGACTGGGGTGCACGGTCAACTTGTCCACTGTTTTGCGCTCGGACATCCATGCGTGTCATGCAAGGTAAGACGTAGGTCATCGACAAATAAGTCCAAGACAGTGACAGTCTCATTCTCTTTCGGTTCGAGAACACCTATAAGTGTCTTATGTGTCCCAATGTCAAGGAGGCCCTTCTGCTTATCTCAGCAATGCAAAGTGTTGGCCTGCTGCTGTCCAAGGCATGGACGATGTGACTTATGAAGTCTTGCAGAACTGCGTGATCCAGCTGATGAGGTGCCAGATGTGCGCCACAATTACATTTGGCCTGCCTAGATGTCCAATTCGGAGGGCGTCATTTTATGGTTACCAAAACATGCGACTGTCACTCAGTCTATTTGTTCCACTACCCCCGCACCACCACCGCCCTGGAAGACATGTCACAAACTTGCTGTAGTGACCACACAGTGATCATTTGTATATATACCTGAATGATCCCTAGTTCCCCTGCGGCCATTGTAGTAAATTAACGGTGCAAACAAAGGAGACTGGATTTTTTGGTCGCACGTCTACAACACCCACTGCTTTCCTCCCAATGAGACCCTCTTCTATCGACCCTTGGCATCGCACTTGTGGCCTTTTTCGGCTCTCGAGCCCCTGATATCTATGTTCTGAATAGTAAATTGGGCGCATGCCTGCCCAGGGTCCCATTTGTTTGGTTGCAAGGACCGGCCTATCCAAAGTACCAGCCAGGGGTGAATGCTGTTCGACAAAGTTCCATCGTGGGGGTTTCCGAAATGTGGGATCCCCTTTGCATGTGTCCTGTGCGTGAGGCAGAGGCTTGTCAAAAAAATCAAGCGCCCCTCTCTGGAACGCCACAAAGCGGAAACAAACTCTTGGATCAAGGGGACAAAGAAGGAGCCGTTTCACCCGTGCCGAAAGGTTCCTTGGCAAAGTTTTCCTGCAAACTGGGGGTTGATTGGCATGGCTTCCTGTGCTTGGCATCTTTTGGGTTTCCTTTCGGTTTCTCCTTTGCCGAGAAGTCTTCCTCGGACTCTTGGCATGCCTAGCTTCTGCCCAAGATATGTTGTCCTGTTGTTTCTTCTCCCCCCTTTTTTCCGAAGCTTTTCTTGGAGAAGTGTCCAAAGGGACAACTGGAAGCCACCTGCCAGGGGTTCTTTAAAACACCCAAAGTGCCCTGGACGTCGATTTTGCATGTCGCAGGGCCCGGGAGCTGCAAGTGCTGCAGCGCATCGCCGACGCGGAGGTCCGGGCCCGGGAGGCGCGATCGAGGCGAAGTTTTTGCGGAAGATGTGTCGAAGGGGTCTGGAAATCAATGGGAGCAAACGGGGCTCCAACAGGAACCCCCTCAAAAGGGGAACCCCCTTCAGAAGGAGACCCCCTTCAGAAGGAAGCCCCTCCAGAAGGAGACCCCTTTCAAAAGGAGATCCCCTCCAGAAGGAAACCCTTCCGGAAGGAAACGGCAACCAGGTTCCTGGGGAAACACTCCAGGAAAACCAGCCTGAAAATTGGTTTGACCTGGCCGATTCATTCGGGGTTCCCATTGTGTGGGAGCCCCTAAATGCCAAGCCTTTGCTCAAAATACGGGGGCACGCACCATGCCCCCCAGCACACGATGAATGACAACGCGTAACTTGATGCGTCTTAGGGTTGTCCCTTGAGACCTTTTCCGCCAAATTGCATGGCCTCCCTTTCTGAGAGTTGACTCCTGCATGTTGATCAAGTATCAAGTTTACAAATGATGATGCTGGTGTATATAATGAATCATGAATATACATATATATACATATATATAACAAAACAATAGCAAACACAAAGTGATATTTTTAGACTACTCTCGAGTCGGTTGGCAAAAAAAAAAGCCCCACGGCGCGTGTTCGGAGGACGAGCTGATGGAGAAGTGCCGAGCCCTGAAGCCAGCCGAGGAGGCGCGAGGACGCAGTCCTACCCGGTTGACCCAGTTTTCCCAAGGGAGTACTACCCGAAATGAGCCATTCGGAGTTACGGGGAGGGGGGGAGCGGGGGAGGGGGGGGAGGGGGGAGAGGGGGGGTGGTGTTACTTCAGTTGTGTTGTTCAGCTCCTCAATCCTTGCGTTGCGACACATGGCCCCCTAACAATCGGAATGGCGCCGAAGGAGCATCACTCAGAGCCAGGTGTGCTATGATCTTGTGACGCTCTTCTACATGTAGGCAGATGACAGTTATGGGAGTTTTGATAGGGAGTTGAAACCAAATGCAATGCGGGGTCGACTATATTACGCGATAAGCAATACCAAAAGGACAGGCACTCGCGGGTCACCATGAGGATTCCCTGCGGTCCTATGAGGCAACGCATGTGATGGGTTGCTAGCCGCCCGGCGTGACACACTCATGTTTACCAGCATCTATGATGTGAGTAGATTGACTTGCCAACAAGTGAGCTGGTTTCCATTCGGCATCCCTAAAAATGAGTAGCAGTGTGAGCCAACAGTGGCTTACATTTGAGGGTTTCATTTACGCCCCAAGATGGTTGGGTTTCTTGTGGCAAAAAAACAACAACCTGAAGGGACATCCCAGCAAAAAGACAAGTACTTGTGCCCCACCAAAATAAGCCATGGGCCACATCTAAAGCCTGTTGCAGATGTTGAGCTTGAAGCGATGACCTTGGTGCGAACTCAGAGTGCGCAGAACCGAAAGGCCTTCCTTTTCTGAGGTGCTGAATTTGGATTGCGTTCTTAGATTCTCCCTTGGACAGCTCGATTTTGCGCTGATTTTTGTCGACTGAGTTGGTGGACAAGGTGACGTCCCGTGGGACGCTGTGCACCGAACCCTCAAGCTTTAATACCAACCACGTAGAAAGGTGTATACGGACGATGCCGTTATAGCCGAACCCGTGTAAACGTTGTAAGGAAGAAGGAATGATAGTTACGACAGTGGTCCTGACGAATGCAGCGCAAGCAGTTGTTTTGCTCTTAATGCCCGTCACGTATGTGCGCAGTCACACATCAGATCTTGAACCTCAATTGTGTCTTGAGCCAAATGGCGATCAATGGAACTTGGGAAGCAACACCAACAAGGACCTCAGAACAGCTACCCAATTTCCATTGATCGCCATTTGGCTCAAGACACAATTGAGGTTCAAGATCTGATGTGTGACTGCGCACATACGTGACGGGCATTAAGAGCAAAACAACTGCTTGCGCTGCATTCGTCAGGACCACTGTCGTAACTATCATTCCTTCTTCCTTACAACGTTTACACGGGTTCGGCTATAACGGCATCGTCCGTATACACCTTTCTACGTGGTTGGTATTAAAGCTTGAGGGTTCGGTGCACAGCGTCCCACGGGACGTCACCTTGCCGTCTCTTGACAGGTTTCGGTTTCTCTGTGCCAGAATCCCCGTCGAAGGATTTCGCTTCCTAAGCGTCGGCAGGAGAGCGAGCCACAAGAAACGGAGGCGGTGGCCGGCAGTACGAAAGATGTGGCGGGCTCGGAACTATCGTCCAGATCTTGTCCACGGAGCAAAAGGTTTGTTGTTTTGATATTCAAGCGATATTCCGGGTTTGTTTGGAGTGGATGGGATTTTTTTGCGAGTGTGCCAATTGTCCACGTTTCGGGGAGCACAGTGGCAGGTCGGCATGGAATCCCGATCTTTCAGTTGAAATGATGCTTCAGGCGTAAGAGAAGGTGCCAGAGTGGCCTCGTCTAGGCCCATAGCAGGGTTTGGTTGCGGAATTAGCTTCCGCTGTTTGATGACCTACCCCCTACTAAACCACCTTGCTAGTTTAGCCAGCTTGAACAATGAGCCTCAGCCATTTTTGCCATCTTGTTTGTTTCCTTGCTTGCTTGTTTGCTTGCTTGATTATTTTGTTGTTTGTTTGGCCGGTTGGTTGGCTCGTTGGTTGGTTGATCAGTTGGTTGAACTGGTTGAACTGGTTGGTTGGTTGGTTGGTTGGTTGGTTGGTCGGTTGGCTGAACTGGTTGGTTGGTTGGTCGGTCGGTCGGTTGGTTGGTTGAACTGGTTGGTTGGTTGGTCGGTCTGTTGAATTGTTGGTTGGTTTGGTTGGTTGGGTTGGCTGGTTGGCTGGTTGGCTGGTCGGCTGCCTGCCTGGCTGGCTCGCTGGCTGGCTGGCTGGCTGGCTGGCTGGCTGGCTGGCTGGTTGGGTGGTTGGTTGGTTGGTTGGTTGGTTGGTTGTTGTTTTCTTTCCGCGCTTTCATGTTGTGTTCTGCTGTTGTCAACTCTGAGTGTTTGTGTGTGTGTGATCGTGTGTGTGTGTGTGTGTGTGTGTGTGTGTGTGTGTGTGTGTGTGTGTGTGTGATCGTGTGTGTGTGTGGGTGCGTGTGCGTGTGCGTGTGCGTGTGCGTGTGCGTGTGCGTGTGCGTGCGCGTGCGCGTGCGCGTGCGCGTGCGCGTGCGCGTGCGCGTGCGCGCGTGCGCGTGCGCGTGCGCGGCGCGCGTGCGCGTGCGCGTGCGCGTGCGCGTGCGTGTGCGTGTGCGTGTGCGTCTGCGTGCGTGTGCGTGTGCGTGTGCGTGTGCGTGTGTCGTTGCGTGTTTGTGCGAGTGTGCATGTTTGTGTAGCTGTTGTATTTGTTGTATTTTTTTTTGTGTTATTGCAATCTCGTGTGTTTGTGTTGTGCGAACATTTGTTTGTGTGGGTGTGCGCGTGTGCAGGTGGGTGGGCGGGTTTGGGCGGGTTGGTGGCTGGGTGGGTCAGTGCGTTGGTGGGTAGGTGGGTGCGTATCCTATTTCCCCTGCAGCTTTTCCCCCTGCAGCGAGGTCAACCCACCAAAGTTGTCCCCTGATTGAGAAGCCCCACATTATTTTGCAGGGGGCTTCTTTTCCGTTGCTCCCATTCTATCATGAGAACTTGGTGCCCGCATTGACAATTAGGTGGCGCTGGGTGAATGAAACAGGGCAGTTTAACTCTGCCTTCTGCCTTCGAGCTGCAACACAGTAGTCCAATAACTCTATGCGCTTCTTTGCCTCGCTCAGGCACAAGCTGAAGCAGAGCTCCCGGCGGAGCCAGAGGCCGCAGCTAAACTGGCTCTAAGCTGGGTGCAAAAACAATGTCATGCTGAAATGAAAACAGTTTTGTGACTTGTTCCTGATCTCCCATTTAAAAACAACCTCACCAGGTGCACGTGAGGCTCCGAGAGTCTCATGGAGTTGGAGATGGCAAGGGAAGCTATGAAGTCACTCCCGAGTTTCCGGAGGTTAGTGCTAAGTGATAGATTTGAACTGATGCTTTGTCCGCCCACTCAAGCACTGACTTACCATAGATAGTAGACTTTGGGCAAAGGGGGGTTGCCACCTATGCACCCTATTTCTTTCTTGTCCATTGGTGAGATGTCTCATCAACCTACTAAAACACACTTCCCCCAGTCGATGCACGGATCCTAGCATTGCCATAATTAGGCACAGGCCTCGACTATCGTTTGGCCTGGAAGATCGCGCTGGTCGGTAGCAAAAAAAGGTCTGACCCCAAACTCACGGCTGCGCAGGTTAAGATGATTCATGAATTGGTGCGTGGGGGTGATGTTTGAGAACCGGACCCCCGACCATTCGGCCACTATGTGAAGCAGAATGATTGCAGCATTGTTGGAGCTGGGCAATTCGGCTCAAATGGTTTGTCGACATGGGCCACGTCACATGCGCACGATACAAGCTGGAAAATCAGAGGAGCAGCGTACACAACTACAAGTAGTCTAGGTTGCAATCCTATCCACCCGTAGTGTTTCACAGGCACCCAACATGAACATAACGAGCCATTAGTAGTTAACTGCACTGTTCGATACAAAGGGATCCACTTTCTAGTGGCTTCCCAACGAAGATTATGGCAAATTGAATTGGACGACCCTTCATGAGCAGCGGAGAAACGCGTGTTTTTTGCGTTCAAACATTTGTGAGTGGGTATGTGAGCCGTCAGCAATGCGCTTGGCCGAGGTTCCCCAAAAGGAAAGTGTGGGGCGGATTCTTCTGTATGACTAGCGAATTCCCGCAGGCTGCGGCTCAGTCTGGCGAGCGTTCGGAGCCGAAGCGGGCTATCGAGTGCTTGGTTACAGCTGTAGCTGCAAAAAATGTGATTTGTTAAAACGCGAACGGCTATGGGTGCAAACTCGGGGGTGGAATCAACTTGAGATAGCATGGGGAACCGCCCTTTTGGATTGGGTTGTTTAAAGGGAAACACAGGTGCGTCCCGAAAGGAAACCCCTAGAGATGCTAGGTTTACGTTTGTGTTTCTTTTAAACATCTACAACGGGGTTCCTCATTGTTGGGAAGCCCATCAGAAAGCGACTATTCCTGGCTTCTGCTCAAGACTTGAGGAAGTCTCCGCATAGAACTGATCTCGATTTTGCCAGAGCAAAATAAGTTCAAGCCATCTCCGATTCGATGAGCGCAGCTTTTTTTTGCAGCACATTGCCTTGACCATAGCCCTGTTGACTTGTTTCGCCATGTTGCGCTCATGAAGCAGTGGCTTCCATACACGCTTGTCCACGCAAGACTTGGCTTGGCTGTTGCACATTTGTAAGTCATGTGTGCCGTGAGGCAAAAAGTGCCTGGACACGCAGACATAATGGACAACCTTGAGACAAGCCGGAGGCTTCTTGCAAGACGCTGTTTGGTTGAAACTTGAAACATGAAGCCTGGTGTTGATTCAATCGGCTGCCAAAAGCGCAATTGTTGTAGGAACAACGGCGGTTTACATGTTCCAGCTTCACCTGCTCACACGCAGAGTTATATATCTTCAAGAAGGGTCATGCCATCCAAAGCGGCCAAGAGCATGTATGACCAGGCTTGCCTGAGTGAGACACCTTACAGTATGTTTGGTGATCTGATTAGCCGGTTCGGCATAGCAGCCTGCTACTAGCCTCCCGCCCATATCCATTGCTAGAGATGTGGTATCCATGAGCTGGAAACAAATCTGATGAGCCATGAACCTTCCCAATATGGAACAGTATTGCATGTGAGCGTATGTATTTGGCGCAACATTTCACAGGCAGCTTTTGTCGATTCGTGCGCAGGAGGCGCCACCATCGCGCCCAGTGGAGCACGCGCAGGCAGGCTACCCAGCTGTTTCCGTCGGCAGGCGAACCCAGGTTTTGTCCGACGGCTGTGGAAGGCGTATTGCGGTGTAGTTGAAGCACCACTTAGACTTACACAATAGGAAGTTCTCAGAACCCACTTGCTTGCGCACGTAGAATTGGTTCCATCGCTCAACAGGCGGCACACTTGGCTGATGCATGCCGTTTCTGCTGATGGGCGCATGCTACGGCCTTCCGCCCTTGCCTTTTTGCCCATGGGACAAAGAATTGTATTCACCCTGTGTGGGTTGTTTGAAAGGGAAAGCAAATGGAACCTTCCCTTCCGGGCCTTCGAGGGGGGGGGATTGTCTCTCGCCAAGCCGGCCCCGAAAAAGTTGAGCTGGGGACCTAAGGACCACAAACCAACCAAAGTAAAGGAGTCTCTTTTTTAATTGGAGGGGTTGGTCGGGGCTTCACTGGCAAATCCTGATCATCATCAAGAATTGCGACAGGCCTTTTCATGATTGGGGTCGAGCACTGCTTCTGGGTTTGTATGCAGTGAGTCAGGAGCTGGTGCAGCGTACGCGGCCCCTGCTGGAGGCAGGCGCTGCGAGACGAGCCTGTCCAAAAACTCACTGGAGCAAGAGACGCTAATCGTTGATTCCTAAAGGCCAACCCCGCTTGCTTTGTTGTTTTTGTGTGTTACTTGGGACTACAAAGGCTCACAAACCAAAGTTGCAAGACAGTTTGTCCACACCATGAATTTTCGTGATGCGAAGCACTGCCAGGCGATCATCGATGATCTGCTCTTTTGCCGCCTGGGCGACGCCACGTTGCAGGCAGGTGCCGGTTCCAAGCCGGCTCCAATTCAAGCCATGGTGCCATGGGAAGACTATCGTACTTGGATCTCTTCTCTCTTCTGTCTGAGAAAGGAATTCTCATGCACAAACACTGGTGGGGACACCAGGAAGCCCAAAATCAGTATAAAACACTGCAGGCTTCACTTGGAACCTTTCAACAAGTTGAACTTGTTTCCCAGCGAGTCAGGCAAGCAGGTGATTCCCTGCGAGTCGGTGTTACTTCAGTAAGGAGATCGCAGTCGGTCTGACTTTGCTAACTTATGTGTTTGTTTCCATTGTGCTCTTCTGAGCCAAATGCCGCATCGAAGGCATCTTAGCTTTTGCTTTTTGCACACACACTCAGACGTCGGCGGGAATTAGAGATTAACATCACGTGCAGTGGATGATTCCTATTATATGCCTAACTTCCGATCGACGAGGTTGCTTCTCATGTGGGCTTCCGCTGTTTAAATAACACATGGGAGCCAGTCAACAGCAGGACAGGGGCTACAATGTGCATCCAGAAAGTACTGTGACAATATATGTAAGCATCCCGATGGCTACCGCACACATGTTGCGGCGCACACGTGTTGCGCCGCACGTTGTAGAAACGTTGCAATGGGTGCAAACTAGGTTCTTCTCCAACGAGAGAGCAACGTCTAAGATCTGCGCGTACATGTTTAGTAAGGGTTACGTCATATCTAACCTCCACATGAGTCGCGTAAGCCAAAACACGCATTGCGTAAGGCTTGCGCAAGCGGGGGCGTAAGCGAAGTTGAAATGATATGGCACAGCAACTCATGACACGTTTACGACATGGCTCAAAGATGGCTTTGACGGAACTGAAGCAGAAATATCTCTGAGTCGGCGAGTCAAATGTTGTGCTTCTCGAGAGTGCGGCGGTGTGACACTTGACGATTCTTATCCAAGTCTCAACAGAACTACGTGCCTCATCGACAGCATTGCCCATCACACGCTGTGTTTGCTTGGGATTGTTGTCTTATGGTGCCTCATCGATGGCATCAGCAGAGATAGAGATCTGGCAGCAACAAAGTTTTAGTCTATTGTAGTGGGGATTGGGATGTTCATTGGTGGTACGGGCTTTTGACCCATGGCCATATTGTTTAGCCCGGATGCCCATCACAATCAGCGCCTTGAGGGAAATGATTTGTGAGGCGGTGCCCAGTGCGGTCCGGTGCAGTCTGACAGGAGCACCGCAACAAGAACAGCTTCTTAGTGTTGCTGGGCAAGGCGCGAGTTTGGTGTGGGTTTCACTTCGCGGCCGTAAGTCTCGTTGAAGGCCAACCCGGAATCGGTTGCGCAACCAACGGTGCCCAGGGCTTGGGAACCACAAGTAGGGTCTCTTGGAGGCCATGCAGTTTGAGGCCAGCAGAAGGAGCTACCGACTTTCCTTCCATGCCCTCCGTGTCCATTCTCTGTACGCATGCGCATCTCTTTTGAAGATGGGTCAAACCCCAGAGAAATGGGAGGGACGGGGGAGATCTAAAATGAACCATGGGTGAGAATAGCGATTTAGGACCGATGGCTTTTGGTCTGCTGACACCGTTCCGTTTTTTGTTCCGGATTCAGCACCAGGCACTGTGGTCACAGAGCTTTGCACTGCTGGCCATTGCGGCCACCCTTCAGCCTGGCCCTCTGAATTCTAGCCTGAGGTGTAGTAAGTTGTTGTTTGTTCGGGCGGGTGTCGGGGACATCATTCATTCAAGGCGGAAACTGACATTGAATACAGGCTTGGTGACCTTGACATGGTGATTGAAATATGTGCCATCAGAAGGGCAGCTGCGGAGTGACTCAATGCGTAAGTTGGAATTGGGAGACCTCTGGCTGAGTACGCCTTTTTAGATGATCTTTGTTCGGAAAGCCAACTTTGGATTTTTTTTGTCTAGGAGAATGAATGACGAGCTCACTCACTTCGCCGAGATGCAATGAAGAGATATTTGCATTGCCACTGGTTTTGCAAGTTTTCACGTGGGCAACAGATGTTGGTTGCGCATGTATATCAACCATCATTCATGCGGTAGCATGACAAGGTCTTCAGAGAAAGGCACACAAAAAAGAAGGAAAAAAACAGAAACAAAAAAGAGAGAGCAAGTGTTTCCGGCCCACAATTGTATCCAATGTTATCATTTTTAGGTGTACCGGAGTCTATGATTCGACATGTTTTACAGGAAAAAGAAGACCGAAGGCCGCACTTTGGCTCGCGGTTTGCTGGAATTTGTCTGTAGGAAAAACGGGTGGTTGAACGTGATGGAAATAGAAAAGAACATCCAGTGGTCCCGCTTGGAGGTCTGGGAGACCGTTTTTTTTTTTCTCGTTTTAGTCTGTGCGGGGCGCGCGAGCAGTCTGTTTTTGGTCTGAGAGAGAAAAAGCCGAGGTTTGCGAGCAGCCGCTCGGTGCTGGCATTTGGCACCGTTTTCACAGTGGTGCCCGGGCTGCATATGGGGATCAATAGGTATGCCAAAATCCGGCATCCCTTTCTGCAGACCCCTGGACGGTGACGCAACGTTGCATCAGCAAGGGCTCATCCGTGCTGTGGCGCCTTTATGTGAGGAACGGGAGAGCAGGCACGGGTCATGCGGGGAAGACGAGATGGGCGAAGGACGCCCCGAATGAGCCCAGCCAGTGATAACCTTTGTACAGGAGTCATTGTCAACCTTAAGGTGGGCAGTAGTCGTTCTGAGAGAACCCTGCAACTGGTGAGCTTTTGATAGTAGCACATATGAGGTTCCGGCCAGGAATAATCATTGGCAATACTCATGAGTGGTTTGACTGCAAAGAAAAAGTAACATGATATGCCAGTGCTTTGAGTGCTTGAAAGCATGTTCGATATGGCATGATCCCTGCAGCCTCTGTTGAAACAGTATCTTGGCAGTCAACATCTAAGCACATAGAAGCGCTGCAGGTGAAGCGGGAAGGTAAAGAAAAAGAACGGGATGTGAATGACGGTGAGCAAGACGGCCCACTCATCCCTAGCAAGCTCATTATTCCCAGGGCACAATTTATTGAATGATCGAAAGCGCTTGTGAATCAATGCCGCACATCCACGGCTACAAGTTTGCAGCTTGCTGTTTCCCCATGAGAGAACCAGCGTCTATCACTCTACATCTAGCCGCCCTCGAAGTAGTTGTTTGAGTACAGGTTCCGAGTTTTGTATTTTAGTATTGGTTGTGCAGGCTAGCTTGCTTAGCACACCCCAAAGAGCCTTTGGATGGTACAGAATTGAAAGAGCATGAGCATGCATTGATTAATTATGTTACTATCATTATTATGTGCCTTTGGTATTGTTGTTATTGTGATTATCATTAGTTTCACTAGGGGTATGACTATTATTAGTAGTAGTATTATTATTAGTGTGTTTATTATTATGATTTTTAGTATTAGTATTATTGTTAGTTAGTAGTGGTGTGTTTATGGTTAGTATTATTAGTTGAATGCGTGTTATTACTATCATTATGATTGGCATTATTATTATTAGTCATATAATTAGCAACATGAGTGTTAGTCTTGTAATTCTGATTTATATTACTATTGTCATGATTAGTAGTGTTATTGTTGTTATTGGTGTTGTTACTGTTGTTGGCATTCAGACGATATGATATACTATAATATACTATACTATGATGTAATATAATATAATGTAATATCATATAATATAATATACTAATATAATATACTAGAGTAATGATACCACTAGAAATACCAATAGTAATTCTAATATATATATATATATATTTGTATATATACATCGTATTTACATGTTGTGTACGTGTCTATGTACATATATACATATATTTCTGGAATCATGTAACATTGCCTGTTCAAGTGGGGGATACTTCTGGGAACACATCTTTGTTTTCACCCTTGGACAACTAACAACCTTAATGCTCTTGCTTCTTGAGATAAAACGAGAACAGATATGGAAGAGGTGAGCTGTGTTCCTCAAACTCCATCAGCTACATTTGGAAGTATGGACAGTACGACATTTAGTGGTACCTTTCATGAAGACCAGGCATATTCCAATATATTCCAGCTACCCTACGTGCTGCTTGTTTTGCAGATCAACCCACAAAAACGGGCAAGTAAGATATTGCGTGGGCACGTTTTGTTTCCAAGTGTTTGGCCAAGGTGATCTCGCAGATGTTCTTCCCTCATGCGCCGCCCAGCCTGTGGCGGTGCCTTGGACTGCACTGAAGCATGTCGGATGAATAGACCCCAACCGAGCCCCCCGCCCTCCCGCCCCAGAAGATCTATCCTCAGATTAAATGGGTTCCGGTGGAGAAGGTCTGCGGGAGAAGGCAATTGTAGGTGACCGCTCCGCAGGATTGAGGATGCGTCCAGAAGTTAGATAAAGTTTGGCTTGGGCTGGATTTAAGATCAATTGATTGTTTGTGCGGACCCCCCCAAAAGGTCGAACCTTGTGCGGGAAAATGGTTCTGCCGAACACGCTCTGCTTGTTTGGGGTGGTCCCGGAGGCCAGCGTCAGAGTTTAGATTTGTTTAGTATTCCGAACACGCGCCTTAGCAATCGGTGGTATTTTTTATTAAGCCAATATTAGCAAGAGACTGGGAAGGTGCTGGAAGGCCAGTCGGGGCGTGGCTTGTAGGCTCCTTGAAATGACATACTAGGGCGTGGCAACACGTGCTCAAAGCGATTTAAAGGGGTGTGACTTGACAGAGCAGGGGAGTGAATTGAGAAATCATGCACCAATAGGCAAAGTTGCCAGGAAACATTTGCACCAGATTGATTTGCAACAATTGCAGAATTTCGGAGCATCATTTGTTGGTCGCATGATAGGATTCAGCGAAGGGCCAAACAATGATGGAAGCGGTTTTTGCAAGGCTCTGTGCAGCCCAGCCTTGGTTCAAATCTGGGTGAAAGATGTCGGGCTCTTGTGGATGTGTTTGCCATGCTCAAACGTGCTCACTCGCAGAACTGAGTTGATGGGAGATGTCTCAAACTAGCAGGATAAACTTGTAAGAATAGATGTGGCGAGGTACAGTCAGGTGAGGTTGAGTGAGATAGGTATGGTCAGGCTGGGTGACTCGTGAGAGGAATGTGGTGGAAGTTGTCGGCGGAATAAAAGAGAACAACCCAGCTCCAGCTGAGCTCTGAGATGGCACCTGCTTGAATGTTGAATCGAGTTTTATGGTCGCATGGCCGCTTCATGCCACCCATCCGATTACATGGGTGGTCAACAGGGGCCCACTTTCGGGAGCCTCGGTGTTAATTTACTTCGGAGGGCCATTTTTTTTAGGTGTTTTTTTTTTTTGTTTTTCAGGGTGGCTTTTCGGCTTTTTGGCTTTTGTGGCTTTTACGTGGCTTTTTGTGGCTTTTGTGGCTTTTCATTTCGCATCCTCTGCATTCACAGTTCCTCTCTTTTTGCATCATGTGCATTGCCAGTTCCGCTGCGGTGGCTTTGGCTTTCGCATCCTCTGCTTTCCCAGTTGGTTTTTGGCTTCCTGCATCCTCAGCATCGCAAGTTCCTCTCTGCTGCCCCCCGCCACCCCCCTTTCGATTAAAATACACGCCTAATTGAATCATCACTTTTTCGATCATCATGCGACAGCTACTTTTTAGATTCTTTGCCCCTAATTTTTCGATCCACTTTTTCAATCATCATGGGGGGGGCGGCCCCCCAACCCGCCAGCCATTTTTGAGATTGTTTGCCCCTAATTGAATCATAACTTTGAGACTTTGTGCCCCTAATTGAATCATCACTTTTTCGCATCATGCAACCCCCCTGCTATTTTTTAGACTTTTTGCCCCTAATTGAATCATCACTGTTTCGATCATCATGGGGGCGGCTGCTACCCCCCCAACCCCCTGCGCCTTTAATTGAATTATCACTTTTTCAATCATCATGGGGGGGCTGCCGCCACCCCCCCCCAACCCGCTACGTTTTAGGTGTTTTACAGGGATTAGTTTGCCCGTATTTGAATCCTCACTTTTATCATGAGGCCTTGCCGCAGAGGAACTGATGATGCTGAAGATGCAGGAAGCCAGCCAAGGCCCTCGATTTGCTGGTGATGCTGGGGATGTTGGCTGGACATGTGGGGGATGTTGAAAGCTCAAAATACGTACATTTCGCGAGAAAATGCTGTAAATTACAGCACTCATTTTAGTAGCCAGGCCGGAAAACAACAAAAATCAAAAAAAAAAAAAACTCGACCCATTTACTTCCTATCGACTTTCTGATTTGAACTTATAGCTTCAATAAGTCTACGTAAAGGTCATGGGTCCAAATGCTGCCCATGCCGTCGGAATTTCTGGTTCTTAAGTATTTGTTCAGACAAAGCTTCTGCTTCGGGGACTTGCCTTCAGAACTTCAGACTCGCAGAGGTTCCTCCAGATCTACAACATCGTCACCATCACGCTGAAGATGCCATGCCTGCGAGATTGCTTGGAGCAAGATCCAGTTGCATGGCAAATATTGTTCATGCCACTCGGAGTTGTTTCGTTTGAGGGGGCTTTCAAATGAACCGCCCTTGAGGTAAAAGCGTTTTTTCCACCACTTAGGGTGATTAGAAGGAGACAGCACCCAAACTTGCTTTAGGTGCCGGGCATGTCAACACAGCAGCTGGCCAGCAATAGAATACCTTACAACCATTGAGAAGAATGTCCGCGAATCAATGCAAAGCAGCATTCTGAGGCAGACTTGTAAATGGAGTTTAGGCGCTTGAGGGAAGCTTTTGTACAAATATTATCAAATATCCACTCTGAAAGAGAGAGAACTTGATCTGCCTGTAATCATGTCCGACTCTTGCTTCTCGCTTGTTCATCTTGTGGCTCTCGCCACATGCCGCTGGGCTCCGGAACGAGTTGGCCCAAGCTGCGGGCAGGCCGAAGGCATCAAGTCAACGTGCCTCATGAGAAGCCAGGCATGAGAGGAAGCAACCACCCAATTGGACAACCTGGATAACATGTCACATTGGACCGTTTGCTAATCGCGCAGCAAAACATATGCCTCCGATAAGCTGATACTGGGGGGAATTTCCAGTCATGCCGAGAACGCAACACCTTGTTTTGCTATGGCACACGACCGCAAGGCATCGCAGTCGACTCCAGAGTTGTTTTACGAGAACCGAAAGAATATTTGTTTCGGGAGTTTTCTCGCTTGGACACAAACCCCAGTTGCGCATGGGCGTGCGTCGCTGCGCCATGACCAGATGAGGCACGGCTGACGCTTGGTGTTCCGAAGCCGCGGCCGAGAGCGCGTGCATCCAACCACAGATCCAACCACAGATTCTTTTGATTTGTTTTGCAGATTTCCTTCAGAGGAGATGCTGAATCTGTTTTCGCCGGTTGCTGCTGGAAGAGCGCTTAAAGCAACACAGTTGTGCCGCCTAAGTGTATCGCCCTTGAACATGTGCGACCATGCTCCACTTTTCCAGATACATCAGGATTTTGTGTTGCAGGAATTTTCGCCATTTTCCGCCAAATTATCTGGTTCCTGTCGATATACTATGCGCAAAACAAACATGATGGGCACCGTGATTGGCTTCTTCAACGCCACTATGTCCTGCTTTACCTTGCGCTTGGGATACAGCTGCACTATGCAATGCGAGCATTTGCATGTGATTGCGTGTGCTTTGTAGCCTAGCGATGTCAAGCTTGTGCAGAATGAAGAGTACGTATCAATGGGTTGCATTTGAGGTTTGTTCAAGAGCTTCTCTTCAAGCAAGTGTCCAGCGGTGGTTACCACGAAACAAAGAAATTACCAACTTAGCAAAACACACAGAGCAGTTGGGTAAAGCTCGCAAACCGAACGGTGGGATGTAGTTAGCCTTGTGGCATGTGTTATGTGCTTATGCCCAGGCTAACTCTTCCACCTTTGTCTAAGCAAATACCGCGCCTTTCGCATATGAGAGACTGTCTGTATCTAGTTTACAGAAAACTGCCGTCAAGTCCGGGCGCAAAGTTGTTTTGGGTAGCAAACTGAAGCGAGGTAGAGCCATGACATATATGTTGAGATCACAACCATATGCCCGCGTGGGAAAACGAGGCCAATGTGTCCAAACTGGTGCAGCGTTGGAGAACGAGGTGGGAACACCCGATCGTTCAACCATGTAGCACACAACTGCGGTAGCTCGTGCGTTTGCTTGTTCTGCCAGGAATCCAGCACAGTTTAGATTGAAATTCAGTTGCAATAAAAAAAATGCCGTGTGAGGGTAATTTGCCATTAGTAAGCATTAGTGTGACTGCACGATCCATTTGCTTTCCTTAAGCGGCTTGAAGGGGCTTATGAAACTTGTGCATGAAGGACCTGAACAAATAACCTCCAAAGACTCCCCGATCAGAGTGGGTTTATTGGCTAAGAGGAAAGAGGGCCTAGTTGGGGCCGGATAAGACATTAGTAGGGCTGAAAGGTGATTCCCCCTGCCTGCTCAGCCTGCTCATGAGGCGTGTGCCTTTGGCCATGTCCGTGAGGATTGTTTTTGTATTTTGGTACGCCCTACTTTACCGTGTGATCCTGTCAGGCATGAGATGGAGGCAAAGGGCCGGCAATGTTCGTGGGTGGGGAGGGAGGGACGGTGAGGTGGAGTATGTAGTGTTGCTGTCAAGCAAGTTTAGGAAATAGAATCGCTGAGCAACACTGGAAGTGATAGATTCTGTCAGATTCTGTACACCTCAGATGACATTGTGAAAATTGCAGACTGGGCATGTTCAGGGCAAAGGTCTAAAGCAAAGGTCATGCAGAAGTCTCGAGAAGTGATCTCAGGAGACAGCCGGAACGTGTTTAAGCCACTAAGCATTAAACAGTATCCGGCTGGTTTCCCCAAGTCAGGAGCATGAGCCTTGGTATCTAAGGGGAGGGAAGGCCCTCCAGGGTTTCTGCACTCAAAGAGGGGATCTCCCTGTTTGCCAAGAATCACAGGGGGTGTATCAAAAGTTATTTTATGTGGGCTGACCAATGGCAAAGCCACATTAAAAGGATGATAGTTCCCACAGGAAAAAGTTACCCAGGGTCCTTTGGCAGTGGCTCAAAATTAAAGAGCATAGGATTACGCAGGTTTTGGTCCATGTTTCCACTTACCAGGGTTCCGGTTTTTTGAGCCACACCCATTTGGTGGCCGGACGGAATGTTAATCAACTCCCAACTGATTTCTGCTGGGACGCCCAGGCGCAGCGCCTCGTCAACATGGCGCGGGCCCTGGCCGCGAAGCAGAACCGCGGCACGGCGGTGCTGGCAGCTGCCGCAGAGGCACGGCCGAGGTCAGCGGTAGCGGTCAGCGGTTCGACTCTCGCTTGTCCATGGTTGAACAGCATGTTTGGGAAGGAATCCATTTGAAAGTCAACCAACCAAAAAAGGATGTGTTTTTTTCTATGGAAATGCACGGGGCATCTGAGTGGTTGAACAGCAGGGTTGCCGTAATTCTGCGTGATCTTCACTGGGTAAGGTTGGGTCATTGTGCGAGTTGATGTGCAAGGAGGGTGAGATGGCTGGTGTTGCAACATATGGATCCCTTTGAGCACAGCCCACCGGCAGTATTCATTTAATCTGGTGCTGCCTTTGTTTCTTTTGGGACAATGCAGGCCAACTCTTGGGGAATGGTCCTTAAGGTGGCACTTGTCGTGTCAGGCAGCATTGCAACACCTGGAGGACTGGGCGGGGGCCACTGCAGGTTGAGTGCGGCGATGCTGTCGTGCACGAAGTCAGCTTCTTGCTTTCTTCCCCGTCTTTAGCAGCGTCTTGAGTCTGCAACCGCTTGGTGTTGTATGAACCTTTTAGCAATTTCTGCAAGCTGCGCTGTGTGGCTAGGACCATCTTAAACCATGCAACCAAGGTCCTTCTGGAAGCGGTGAGCTTTTCTGCTGATATTGCGGAACCAGCACCCTGAGCCACCTTCTGGGTTCAATTCAATTTACAAAGGAACTTTGATTCCTGCCCGTTACTCAAACCAACTCTTTTATCTCTGGCATCCCTGCAGACCGTTTGCCTTGACAGTGTGGTCCACATTGTTTGTTGTTTCTTTTACCGGAGTCCGCAATCAGCCCCGATGATTCGCTTGGTGGATATCAACATCTGTTTTTGCCGGCATTTTCAAGTACATGCTGGCACTGTAATTATATCATTGTGCTTGTTCAGCAGTATTTATGGCCGAAGTCCACTTCAGAATAACATGCATGCAGAGGGACCTGCTACAACGTTGATACACGTATCAACCACTAAGTACAGTAAGAGATGTCAGCAAAGCAGCACAAGGTTCTTGGAAGCATCATTGCCTTTCCTGCTCTTTAGCGGCTCAACCGCCTTCTCCACACCAGTGCTGCATGCATATTTGTCATCCCAGTCCACGGTAGCTAGAAATGTTTGACTCCAAATGCTGTTTGGAGGCAGATCGTGAACAAATTATTTCCGCTTTCAACCCAGAGCATCCACCTACCCTCCCATTGTCGAACGTAATTCTATACCGATCATCTTGTTTGATTACAGAAACCTATTTGCAAAGCCACGAATGTCCAGCACATCTGTTTTTCTTTGCCAGCGCCGGTTCGTTCTGGTTGGTGTTTAAAGTGAACCAAGAGGATATAGGCCATTGTTAGGAATCCCCTGTTTGAGAAACGAGAAACACCGAACAAGTACTTCACTTCGGCCTTTCCCTTGCGCATTTGCATTGCAAACAATGCACATCACGATCAATATATACAGACGCACACATTTCTTCGGACATATAAACGCTGTTTGCATATTCAATATGACAGGCACACTAGGCATGAATCAGGGCACCTGCCATCATTACGCTGTGGCTAGCCCTGATGCATGGGCCGGACGCTTCTTTGCCCTCGATGTGCTCAGGAGCTGCAGCCACACGATCCTGCCAGCCTCGCATGGCGCTCTGGTCAGTTGGAGCCTGGGCGAAAGGGCTAGAGACGACGTCAGTCAGCCTGGCCGATTAAGAAACCGCTCCTTCAGGATATACGGACTACCTCTTCAGATGGCTCCTGAGACCGGTCGAGTTGCGAAGTTTGCCCCCATTTTGGGGCCTGTTTTCCCTTCGATTTCTCTTTGGTCACCCGACAAAGGGTACCCTCCCAAGAGCGCCAAGAGGACACATCCCGACTTAACATGCTGCTACATGCCTATTGCAACAAGCTTTGCCCTGAAAAGCTGAGGCAGTCTTGCAGCGGCCGCTCACGTCTGCCACTGCGCGGGCTGATGACCAAGACTGCAGTGGTTCAATTGATGCTTACAGCAAGCTTCTTGCGTGTGTCTGTGTGTGTGTTCTTGTGAAAGGCACTGACTGGCCCAGTGACCGTTTGCTGAAGTCTGATGCCTCTTGAGAAGTTGATTTGAGAGTGACAAGTCTTTCTTGACGACGCGCTGAATAAAGGAATTGCAAGAGATGTTGGTCTAGCTTCCTTGACCCAGACCAGAGGCC